TCTCTGGGTCATGATGAAGGAATGGATTCTGCTGAAAAAGTGATAAGGGAAACTGCTAAGGAAGTACACAGCAAGAAAGTGAGAACCCCACGATCGAGACTCGAAATGGAAAAACACAGACTTGGACCTCAATAATCTCCTCCTAAAGGTCCAAGGAAAAGTGCTAGCAGGGTAGCTGGAGTATATCATCAGTAAGGATATGGGTTTATCAGTTTATTTTTGAAATGTTAGAGGTTTAGGTGATTTTCGGAAAAGAGGTAGAATCAAGCGGTTAATCTCGAAGCACAAACCTCATATTGTTTCTCATCTTGAAACTAAATGGGCGGATTGCAACGATTCTTTGGTTGCTACCGTAAGTGGAAGAAGAGGTATGGGATGGGTTGCTAAGAATGCCAACGGAAGCTCAGGGGGCATTATTGTTTTCTGGGATAAACAGGCTGTTCAACTTCTATCATCTAGCGAAGGCACCTGGTACATGATTTTGGAATTCTTGGACTTAGCTTCCTCTATATCTTGGCATCTTGTCTCTGTCTATGGCCCAAAGCAGATAAAATTGCTTTTATTAGTGAACTCCATCAGCTCTGCCAATGTTTTAACTCCCCAATTTGTTTTGGTGGAGATTTTAACCTTGTTCGATTCCATGATGATTATATTGGGCCAAGAAGAGATTCTGATCTTATGAATGAATTCAATAGCTCCATAGACCATAACTTTCTTCTTGAGCTTCCCCTTAAAGGAAGTCACTTTACGTGGAGCAGAGGTTCTGATACTCCTTCCTTATCTCGCATCGACAGAGTTTTTGTTTCCCCTGAGTTTGATTGCTCGTTCCCGGATTGTTCTCTCACAGCACTTGAACGAGTCGAATCGGATCACAATCCCCTTCTACTCAAATGGGGTGTTGACAGAAGGGTTAAAAGGCCCTGGCGTTTTGAGAGTATGTGGCTCGAAGACAAGCGTTTCTTTGATGAACTAACCAATTGTATGCTGGTCCCTATTCAAGGAACTGGAGGTTCTTTCTTGTGGTGCAAGAGATTGCAGATCATCAAACATAAACTCAAAATCTGGAATAAAGAGGTTTTCGGCAATATTCACAAGAGAGTAGACGACTTACTGGGCAAAATCCACGGAATCGACGAAACTGAAGAAACTAGAACTCTTGAAGCTGATGAAATCATTGAGAGATGTGTATTGAAGGTGGAACTCTCCCATGCTCTCAATACGCAGGAGATTTGTTGGAGACAGAAATCTAGGGAAACTTGGCTTCATAAAGGTGATAACAACACGAATTACTTTCATCGTATTGCTAATTATAGGAAGAAACTCAACTATATTGATCGCATCAAAGTCCATGGCAATATGTTGGAAGGCTGTCAAGAAGTGGCTGTGGGAATTATGGATTTCTATATGGGCTTATTCACAGAACACTTACCCCTCTGACCCTTTCCCAGCTCGTACTTCGATTGCAAACTCAAAGGTTCTGATTGCTTAGGCCTGTGTCACCCCTTTAATGAGAAAGAAATCTGGGAGGCTTTGATTGATCGTGACGGTTGTAAAGCCGCAGGCCCTGATGGCTTTAACTATGATTTTTATAAGAGATGCTGGAATCAGATAAAGGCGGACATTCTTAACGCTTTCATGGATTTCCATTCCTCAAGTCGTCTCCCGAGGTCTGCCTCTCATTCCTTTATTTGCCTTGTCCCGAAAAAGGATGCAGTGGAGGATGTTAGGGATCTAAGACCCATTGGCCTCTTGGGAAGCTTTAACAAACTTATCAATAAGGTTCTCTCAAGGAGACTTAGTGACTTTCTTCCTGATTTAGTCTCGGTCTCTCAACAAGCGGATGTTAAAGGGAGAAAAATTGCCGAAGCAGGCCTCATTGCCAATGAATTAGTAGATAGCAGGAGAAGAAGCAGAAAACCGGGACTCATGTTCAAACTCGACATCGAGAAAGCTTATGACAATGTTAACTGGGAGAGTTTGTTCCGAATTCTGAGAAGTTTTGGTTTTCCTGAAGTCTGGATCTCTTGGATTCAATCGTCTGTGTGCAGTCCCCTCATCTCGGTGTTGGTTAATGGAGAAGCTCATGGTTTTTAGCCTACCTCGAAGGGGCTTCGTCAGGGAGACCCCATCTCCTCGACCCTTTTCATACTGGTTATGGATATTCTATCCTTTATGATCTCTAAACTGAAAGGAGCTGGCAAGATTAATGGTTTTTTCATGAATGAGAATCAACAGCAAGGAGAGGTCACCCATCTTCTTTTCGCTGATGATACCTTCATCTTCTGTGATGTCTCCCATGAGCAAGTTATTAGCATTCTGTCTACTCTTGTGTGTTTTCAAGCTGTTACAGGGCTTAAGGTAGACCTCAACAAATCCATTATGTACACTGTGGGTGATGTTCCTGAACTGAGTTTCTATGCTAGCATATTCGGGTGTAAATGGAGTAGCAGCCCACCCAAGTACCTTGGTTATCCTCTTGGCGCTAAGCCTAATGCCGTCTCGACTTGGGATCCGATCATTGCTAATTTCAGAAAAAGATTGGATGGTTGGAAAGGCAAATACCTTTCAACTGGGGGAAGGATGGTTCTTAACAAGGCTGTCCTTACTAGCTTACCTGTTTATTACTTCTCTCTTCTTAAAGCTCCTAAGACAGTTATTGAAGATCTTGAGGCTATTCAGAGAAACTTCATTTGGAACGGGGTTGGTGGTTCGCGGAAACCTCATCTTATTAGCTGGAATCTTTGCAAAACCCCAAGATCTAAAGGAGGTCTTGGCCTATGTGACCTCGCTTTATTTAACTCTGCTCTCCTTGTTAAATGGTTATGGAAGTTTGCAGTTGAAGTTAACAGCTGGTGGAGAACTTTGATCAACACCAAATACCATAATAACCTCTCCTCGTGGCAGACATCTTATATTAATTCTGGGTTCTCAAGCTTTCTATGGGCTAATATCGCGAAAGAATATCCTGTATTCTGGAAATATGCTCAAATTGATCTTGGTGGGGGAGGCCATGTTTCTTTCTGGTATGATAAATGGACTTCAAGCTCCCTTTTTGCTGTCGACTTCCCTAGAGTGGCTGCTGCTGCCTCTTTTCCTGCTACTCGGATCGCTGATGTGGTCTCTTTCTCTAACTGTGAGGATTTATTGGTCGCCTAAGCAGGATGGTTCCTTTTCAGTTAACTCTACTTACAGACAGTTGATCCGTGAGAACTTCCCTGGTCTGCAGAATTTTGAAGCTTCTTCTATTTGGAAGCCGTTTATTCCGAGTAAAATCTGCTTTTTCTGTTGGACTTTATGGCACAAGAAAATCTCTACCCTGGACAGATTGAAAAGAAGAGGTTTGGCCCTTGCCAACCGCTGTTCTCTTTGCTGCAGCAATGAAGAGAGTGTGGAGCACCTTTTCATCAATTGTGCTTTCATCCAAGATGTTTGGAGTCGCATCAAGAGAGCTAAAAGTTCGATTGGCACTTTGGAAGGTGATATCTCTGCCATGTTTAGAGATCGATCTTCTGCAGCTCCCAGCACCATTGACGACAGGTTCAATCTTTGCATCCTTCATGATATTTTTTGGCTTGTCTGGCTTCAGCGGAATCAGAGTGTCTTCAAGAACTCGCAGTGCTCGCCAAAGTGATTGCTCTGAAGGTTGTTCGAGTTGTTATTGGCTGGCTTTCGGCTCACTCCAAGATCAACAAAGACCTTGCCTCTGCTTGGATTACAGATGTCTTGCCTAGCATCTGATTTCTCTTCTTCTCCTTCTCTTGCCTTAGCATAGACGTTTTAGTTCGTCGGGCTGCCTCTTGGTCTTTGTTCTTTGTTTTTTTTTTCTTTTTTTTTTCCTTTCTCCTCCCTTGAGTGTTTTTCTTTTCTACTTTCTGCTATTCTTTTTTTCGACTCTGTCGTGATGATCAGGGTTCAGGTCGTCTGAACCTTTTTTGCTCTTAATAAAATCACCATTATAAAAAAAATATGTGTAGTCAAAACATGGATATTTGTGACAAATATAGTAATTTTTTTGTCACAAATCTACACATAATATATAAGATAAATTGGGCACTATGACGAAAAGTGTTTCCTGGAATTGCTCTCAGGCCACGAAATTTGAAAATGAGACTCTCATTTTCCAATTTTATCATTATATTATGTGTAGATTTGTCACAAAAAAAAATGATTATACTCGTCACAAAGGTTCATGTTTTGGTTACATTTTTGTATTTTGTCTAAACTAAACAACACATACAATTTAATATTAATGTTTGAATCAATATTACTTGAGTTTCGATTTCAGAACTAATCTCTTTCTACAAAATATAAATAAATTAAAATAAAATATAAATTAATTAAGGTAAAATATAAATATAGAAGCGTCGTCACCAAATTTATTCCTAGAGTTCAATCAAAGAAATAACTATAAATAAGATATAGCCTAGTTGGTTATAATGTTTTTTCTTCATTTAAGTGAACAATGTTCGAACTCCTATGTTATAGAATCATTCTCAGGACACGAAATTTGAAATAGGAGAAATTTAACCAATATTTTGCCTTTTATATATTTTGTAGATTCTAATTGATTTTTATGATGGATTCAATACTAGTTGAAACTAGTTGTACCGGCCAACATACCAACAAATTTCACTATTGACAGTAGGGATGGTAATGGGTCGGGTTGGGGCAGGTTTTGTCAAACCCAAATCCAAACCCATGAGTTTATCCACCAAAAAAACCCGGGATAAAACCCCGTTGGGTTTGAAAAACTCAAACCCAACCCAACCCGCTGGGTATCCGCGGGTTCATGGGTACCCGTGGGTTTTTGTGGTAAAAAATTTACAATAACAAGTTTCTTTCACAATAAAAGGTCAACATCAATTTTCTCATACAAATTAATCATACAAAAAACACCAATCTATAGCATACAGATACAAGCAAACCGCAAATGATCAATACAAATTGTTCAAAATTAAAGATAAACATCTATAAACAATAAGATTAATTGAAAGCTTCTTCCTCGTCAACTAAGTTTCTTCACTCTCCACTTCATAATATCAACTTCATTTTAAACAATTAGAAAGAACAAATTATACATGTCTTCACAAACATAAAGAATATTACTTGTTTAAGGAAGATATATTATTTAGAATATTAAATATACCGGGAAAGTAATTATATGTGTGTGAGCGGGTACATATGAGGCGAGTTTACCTAAACCCAAACCCAACCCGACCCGATGAATAGTATAGCGGATTTAAACCCGAACCAGACCCAAAACCGTCAACACAGATTTTACCCGCGTTGACCGAATTGCGTCATGTGGGTACCAGTTCGGGTTTTGTTGCCATCCCTAATTGAGAGCCATGGTAGAAGCTAGAAAGTAGAAACGAAGGGAAGATGAGGTAAAAATGTAAAACCCCCAAATTCAAAAAGTTTGTCTTCGTCCCACTGTCTTCTCTCCGAAGTTCGATTTCCATGGTTTCCCTCTCACCATCTCCTCCTCGCCTCAGTCCTCACCCTTCGCCGCCTGTCTTCCGCGCGTCGCGATCCTAGTCACCGCTAGTCAGTTTACGTCAGCCACCTCGACGCCAGTTCTCACCAGTTTTCGCCGCACCTATCCTCTGTCTCTCACTCTCTCTGTTCCCTCCGCCCCTCCTCCTTCCGAAGCTCCTACTGTCCCGTCACTGGCAATACGATCGGCTGACGTCTCCCTCCCTGTAAGTTTCGTTACCTCTGCCTTGCTTCTTGTTATACCTACTCCATTGCGCTATAATTTATCTCTTTTCCCTTCTGAATCCTAACAATTGATTAGTAGTCTTCTCACCGCGAGTCTCAGTTCTGATTCTGTCTATTTCCCCTCTTCTTTCAGTTCACTTCGTTTCAGCCGGCCCGAAATTAAGCTTGCATTTTGTTGCAACCTTCTCCAGCTAGCAAGAGTACACCGCAGTGGTAAGTTAGAATTCTTTCCTTCTCTATGTAGTGATACAAGTATCAAGATTTGTCAAAATTGGTTGCATGTAATGTCAAGCAAATATTGGTTGAACAAAAGAGTTTATTTCTAGAGGAAGGGGTTTTTTTATATTCAAAAGCTGCTGCAAAAGTTTCAAATGTCATTTGTGACTGCTTTATTGTATTGCTTTTAGTGCTGATCATAGGAAGTGGAGTGAATGGGTTCACGCTTGATCCATCCTTGGGGAGTTCATACTTATTAGTTTCAGTGAGTGAAGTAATGCCAAAGGTTGGGATGGACCATTAGCCACCTCATGTAAGGATTAATCTGTTTGATATGGTACTACCATTAACCACCTCATGTAAGGATTAATAAACATATGAAAGCATATTTTTTGTCAATTAATCCCGAAGACATATTAGAGATTCTACACAAAAGAGAGAAAAAAACAGACTTATTAGAGATATCCGAGAGACTTGCATATTCTTTTTAGAGCATCTCCATTGGAATTGCAATTAGAATTGCATTATGACATGACATTCATTTGCAATTGCATTGATGTAGATGACAATTGCATCTTTGCAAGCTTGCATATAATGCAATTATGGAATGCAAGCCACATCATCTTTTTTATTATTAAATTGTTCATTACTTTTATCATTTGAGTGTTTATGTTTTAATAAATTAAATCAAAAAAATTAGTTGCAATTGCATTGATGTGGTGCAATGCAAGTAAGATGAGTTGGATTGCAAAATAATGAAGTAATAATAAAAAAAAAAAAAACAAATGCAATTGCAAATACTATTGCACCAATAGAGATGCTCTTACGGAAGTTGAAACCAAATAGCTCATTGTGTCTGTTACCGTTGGGAGTGATTAAGTAACCATAGCAAGTGCTAGAGAAGCCAGGTGCTTCAGAATTGCTATATATTTCTAGTACAGTAACTTTGATATCAGCTCTAGATGTTCTCGTTCATATTCACATGGAGATCCAATTTTCGAGCCTCTGGAAAACATTAACGGGTAATTGCTTATGCACAGGTTATCCTGCTTTTTTTTTCTGTTTGTAGAATTTTCACCACCATTGGCTGGTCATACCGTTGTGCTACAAGTTCAAATTTGCGTTACCATTTTGAAACAAATAAATAGTTAAGTGGTCATTTTGTAAAGCGGCTAGACACCAAAGGGCGGGACTCGGGAGGGAAAGGGCCCAAAGGGATGCATCCCGCACATTTGTATTCCTCAATTTCTGATCAAATTCCTGACAAAATCTCATTCTTGTTAGATGGCGTGTTAGGATTTAAAAAAGGGTGCGCTTTGTTTGACGCAGGTGAGTGCTATTTGGGACCTGAGGGTCCTTTCTCTGCCTGATCGAGGGCTTTGTTAGTCTGCCAGCGAAGAGGAATAACTGAACAAATAGAAGATGGGTTGGAACTACCCAGGAATATCTTTGGAGGAGATGGTCAAGCTCATAAAAGGGTTTGTAGATATATTGCTTCTGGCATCTGGGTATCTGTCAACTGGGCTTTTAGCTGATTGGGATTCCCAAAACATAAAAAAAGCGTTTCAGTGGGCTTCCTTCTTTCAGAATGTAAGTTCCCTCCCAATTCCATCGCCTGTTCTTCTTGTTAGTTGCTATTTCTCTGACACGAGTAGAGCTTTAACTGTTGGGTCAGAGTTATTATTTTAGTTGCGATACATGTTAGGTCTTCCCTGTGCCAACCAAGATATGAAATGTGCTTATCATGACCTCATCTAAAACTAAGTTGGGAAAAACAAGAAGATGAAATTGCAGTCATTTATAGGACTTGAATTAAGTTTTTTACCAAATGGCCAAGGGAAAGGTTCATGGACTAAACATTTTGGTGTAAGTGTAGAAGATATATTATGGTTTCGATGATTGTTGGACATATTTTGGCACTGAAGGGTCAAATGCAAAGATAGATATAATTAATGTGGAGTTATGGGCTGATAGCGAGCATTTAAAGGCTGCATTATAGCTGTATTTTGCTGGCAGTATTTAGTTGTGTTCAAAGGTTGATTTCTTCGGTAGCTTCTGCAGAAACTTGTTTTTGAATTTCTCATACAGGGTTCTACTCCCTTGGAGGAAGAAGGATCTCTTCCACTTGTAATTTTTCGCATTTGGGAGTTTCTTTATAATGATAAGTACTACACAATTGTAAAATTTTCCACTTTGGTTATATGCCTTCTTGTTAATGTTATCTGCTGGGGACCAGGACCCCCATTGATATATAAGACTTATATACTGTAGGAGTTTCTTATGCATTGCACTCGTATTTAGGTGCTTACTGATATGAGCAGCACTGACGATTACCAAGATTCTGTGAAGGAACTTAAAGCAGCTCTCTGTCACCTGAAATCTGATACATCTTTCCCTGAGGTAGCTTAATTTTTGTTTTTGTTTATAGCAACCCTGTGTGCCTATTTTGATGAGTTGGTGAGACTTGACTCTCGTGTTAATAAATCAGGGTCTTGCAAGTATATCCTATGCTTCCCTTCTGCATGCTAAAGATTTTGTCTTGGAACATCTATGCGGATGCTTGCCGTTGAGGAACTTACATCTCCGAGCTCTTCTATTAGCAATGGTTGAGGTGGATCTGGAAAAGCTTCCTGGTGCGGAGCATGACCGCCTCAATACATATCTGATCAAATTACAGCTTAAGAATGCTCCTGGCACCTCAAGCCCCCAGATTTTGGAGAAAAATACCACTTCAACCACAAAGATCAGTGAATGTAGCAGCGGAGACTTGACAAACTTGACTATTGAAGCGTGCCTTGCAAGGCAATCTACTGTGTTATCTATCTCAAAAGTTGAGGAAGGATTGGCTATTCTATCTGATGCTTGTGGACTTAGTAGTAAGACTGATTCCACCAGTCTGTTACTCAAGAAACAAAAGCATAGCAGAGTCCTAATGTCAAGTGGGTATGCACCGTATTTTGAAATTGCAAAGCCAAGTTTGTTTCACTACCTAAAGGTTTTCTTTTACATGTTTTGTGCCCAAATGAATGCTTCCTTGAATGCTGATGAATAGCATATGGTTCAGCAGACTTAAACTTGCCAGGCATTTTTTGTCTCCCTACTGAATGGAAGGGATTTGATTCAGAACTGTTTAGTGGGGCTTTAAGCTCCAACTTCCATCCTTTTTGTTACAGAGTAGTTTACCTTTATTTTTCCTCTCCTTAGAATGTAAGCAACTTACTTAAAGCTACAGATTAATTAAACACAGGAATCAAGGGATTCATGATAAAGTATCTATGCAGGAACATGGAGCTCTTGGTCCGGTATGATAAGAGGAATGGTTGGAGATCAAAGAATCTTTCGTACTTTTTGCACAAAAGAACTATTAGGATGGTTGCAGGGGCCAGCATAATGCTTTCTTCCCCCAAGAATCAATGGGAACAAGTCTTGAAGCGGTTGATTGCATCAACACAATGCAGGGATAACTGGATACACGAAACAATAGTAGGTATCTTATTTTAAGAACTGCTTTAGTTACATTCCTTTGATAGGTTGATTATATCATAGAGCTTTATCATTTTGTAAGAGTAAGTTGGATGCTAACTTGCAACGTCAGTTGGTGTTCGTTAGTCTACAAGCTGACTTCAACTATTTATTACCAAATCCATTTATTGAGATATAATTTTTTCTTTCAAAGAGATTGGATTTATCCATTTATATCATGGAGACATTGTATCAACAATTTAACTATTTATGGGGTTACTACATGCATATCAGTACTTGAACTGGTTTTGTGTGGCAAAATTGGTTCCTTAACAGAACAAGTCCCTACTTGCAAGAAAAGCTTGGACTATTGTTTGTGAGCATGGACTATTGTTTGCTATAATCACAATTGGACCCGGGACAATTTATTGCACAAACTAGGCCTATAATATTTTGTCTCAATTGCAGGCTTCTCCACTGTTATGTTTTTCCACATCACTCCTTGAAGCTGTCATTTTCTCTGCTCCAGGAACTTCTCTTACTTGGGTACATAGCGAACAAATGGAGCACGGTAGTCGAATATCTGATGTCATTTTCTTGTGATACATTAACTGTCTTGAAGATGTATCAAGCGCTGTGCAACTTACTTCCTACAATAAGCCAAGCTACCCATTTCAAAGTTCAAGCAGCAAGTTCTAAGGTAATTTATGCATCACTAAATAGAGGTGCACAACTATCATATCCATACACGGATGTCTCCAGATTTGCTCTTCATGTAAACTAAAAACTGAGCTGGATACGTATTCTCTTTTGGTATGCATTAAAGATGGAACTTGCAGAATCTATCCCTTTTTTGCTTTTTGCTATTTGCAAAATATGTTTATCAGTGTGTACACTGCCTGCATTATATGGCTTAACATTTTGTATTATTCTTGGCTTATTGATTTCTATAGTGTGTAACAGGAAACTCGCATTCTTGAATATGTGGTGGATTTACTTGGTGATCATCTTCAACCATTGTGGCAGTTGTCGCCAGTACTTGTAGCAGTGGGAATTCCATTCTGGTAATTTGATGATTTGTTTCAACTGCTTGATAGAACTTTTATCTTTTCATTCATTTGGTTTACTATTTGCGAGATCAGTACACTCATGCAGGCATGTGCTCCAGCATACTCGTGAGTACTTTACTGTGAACCTATACACGTAGGTGCACACTGCATGACATTCATGTATTACCAAGTTCTCTTTTCCTGCCTTCTAATTTAGACAAATCCAATGACTAGAAGTGCTAGGGTCTTGGTCATTTGACATGATTATTTGGTGACAGGTCACCTGTTTTCAGATATTATCTAAGTGAAATAGAGATTCAACTCAAGGGAAAGTCGTCAACGATGAGGTTTTGAGAATTTGCAACTGTTGTCCTTACTTTGAGCTGCCATATTCTGATGAAAACTCAGCGTCATGTTCTTCTTCATGATTTCTTTGTAGATTCTGCAATTGTGTTCAAGAAATGAAGGAGCATGAGGAATGTAAGTTTTTTTTTCCTGCCTTCTTCATTGATGAACACTTGGATTTCTAGTTGAAGTTTATAATCGGAACCTACTATATTTGTCATGATGGTCGAGCTTCTGCTGCGCTCCTATGACCTGCAACATGGGGATGAGCTCAGGTTTAAGTTGTCTCCTCTCCTTTGATCGAGCCTTAGGTATTGACATTGTGTAGAGATTAAAATAGAAAGTTATTTGGTGGCTTCGGAGGGCCAGGACGATGGTGAATCCGAGCCCTTGACGATGATAAAATATTAATTCAAAATTTTATTTATATTATTTAAATAATAATTTCCTAGATGGCACATACGTGGACGACATTTGTAAGCGCCACTTCATCAATGGTCAGACGAAGGTGACCACTGTTAGGTCAACTGTTAACTTTAACAGTGAACTGAAATTCGCGTAACACATATGACTTACCCCCAATAGGTTGGAATATTACTTGAATTATTAAAGTTTTATAATATAAATGAAAATGTTGCTAAAGGTTGGTATTTTTGGTGGTATTAACCCAAATAAATTTAATATTGTGTTATCATTTCTATTTTGGAAAATAATCATTAAAGCAATTGTACATTTATTGTTATTATGTAGGTGAACTAGCGGAGAGAATCTGGTGCCTCTACATATTTCATATTGGTGGATCTCATGTACTGTATGGTGCAAAATTACCTACTCCACTGGAAAGCTGACCCCCAGTAAGAACCTCTCTGCTGAACTGTACTAGGAATCATTAGAGTCTGAAGGTTTATCTCCTGACATTAAACTTGCTTTGTTATTGTGCTCCTTTCAATTTCCAATCCAACTTCCCCACAACACCAAAAAGGAAAAGTAAAAGAAATAGCAGATAATAAAGAAATGTAAATTTGGTTCTGTTTTGTCTGCAGAATTTATTTAAAAGCAGAGCCACCTGTAAAGTATTAGATTCATCAGTTTGCTTTGTGTACTGAGGATTCTTCTTCAGCCATGTCTTGCAAGTTTGGTATTAAGTTCCAACCGTTTTCTCCTATTTGCTTGCTTGATCTGATAATCCCATGAGCCATATAGAACGCGCGAACTGATCGCTAGTTTCTGGCTTCTGGGAGCCCCATTTTATCTTACTGGCTGCATGTGTATTTTTTCTCCTGGTGGCCCTCTTATCCCTATGACTTCCATATTTCAAATACACCAATTTCGTTTGCCGCAGGACCATAGTCAGTAGCATTTCCTACTACACACTTTACATACTACACATGTAAGCATTCGCTTTAACATTCAAGAAAGCACTTTGCTGACACGAAATTTGGATTCATTACATTTGGATATTGTGGTCCCATTAGGATAAGGGAGCTAGTCGGTAGCACTTGCCTACTACACACTTCACATGGTATACGTGTAAGCATTTGCATTTTAACATTCACGAAAGCACTTTGCTGACACTAAATTTGGATATTGTGGCCCCGTTATGATAAGGGATCTTTCATTCTTTTTGGTCAAGAATGTGTATGAGCAAACCCAATCCAACCTCTGAAGTTTTGCCTTTCAAACTTTAAGTGAATCACAAGGGAAATCAAACTACAGGATAGTCATAGACAGATTCTAATTATATTTTTCTTTTGCATAACATGTGGTTTGGCCCCAGTGGAAAGTTCCCATTTCCCAGTCATCACTTACCTCTTTTGCATAACATGTTGTTTGGCCCCTCCCTCCCACTCCCAGTAAAGGGATTTTGACATCTATTTAAGGATCATCATTTCATGGTCATTGGTACGGGTGAGTGCATTTGATACTAAGAAAGCTCAACATCTAGTTTCATTTTACACACACTCCCTATTTCTATATATCCTGCTTCTTGTGTTTCATTCATTTGATACCGAGGTCCAACTGTCCAGTGTAGATCTTGCAGCATAGTTTGACATGAAGCTCCTGAACACCAAAAGCATGAAAACAACCCAGTTCTTGAGAGGGGGGAAGAGAATTCCGAGCTCAACTGCATCATCCACTGCCATGGTAGCCATTGCTGATAGGAAGAGAAAGGTTCCGTCGGGTAGCTGCAGAAATAAGTCTTATGTTCCTAAGCGATGGGTTCACAAGTTGAGGGCACAGTGGAAGCAGACAATAGGGTGGCAGAAGAGCAGCAGTTCTCAGTTCAGCTATGACATTTGTAGCTACTCTCTCAACTTTGACGAGGGTGGCTCTCTTGATCAGGTCCTTAGAAGCCATGTTTTGTAGATGAAAAGCTAGGATCTTTGATCTCAATTCTTCTTCCATTTTATTTTATTTTATTTTTTTTCCAAGGCAAGCCCAAAGGGCATGGGACAAAGACTCGACACGAATACATGACCGACTTAAAACCAACACGTTAGTCTGTATGCAACCAGACTACGATGAAAGAGCCTGAAAAGCCACTACTTGGGCAGCTCTGAAGAAGCTCCGAGGAGCAAAGACACGACACTAACGGGAAAAAAACAACAAAAACTCAACATCTCCAAGATAGTCCTGCCAGTGAGTGTAGTTTTCTTCGACGGAGTATGTTGGATGACCAGTATCGATATGCCAACAAAAAAAAGCAAAAGACATTAGCAATCTTCGACAAAGCATTCATAATTACTCTCATAAATTTGTAAGAGAAAATAAAAGCGAACACCTGATAGATTGGTGAAACTTATCTCACTTACTTCATTACTATCATACCATATGAGCACCTGCAAAATGACCAACCAAAAAAGCACGAATATGGTGCTAGAAATCTCTATCACAAGAGATTAATTCTTACCCTTGAGGCAAAGTTGATCTTATCGAAAATACACCACCACCGGTATTATTCACTTTTTATAAGTGCAAAACACTCACAATCAATCAACGACGGTTCTCCAAAATTAGGAAAAGTGAAGACTACTTTAACTAACAAAACTAAATGATGGAATTAGAGAAATTAATGGCACCTTCATACCCCAAATATAGCAATTTGTGATTAGAATAAGACAAAAAACAAAAACAAACTAAACAAAAGGAAGGAAATTAACTGCGGGTACCCTAACACCCTTAATTAAGTTCTGAAACTTAATGTCACAATGTAGAGGGAATGAATCCCTAATATCAACGGCAATTAAAGGAAATAAATAACCATTAAAGAGTATGAATCCAATAAATGGAAACGGTATCACCGTATCTATTTTTGGTGAGAAATCATAGGAAATTACAAACTTAATATGGAATTAGGCGCTATTAAAGGAAAGCGGATGGTCAATATTAAAAGAGTTACCGTTTCAGCCGACTAATAAAGATGATCGGAAAAATCACCTTCTTCGATAGTGTGGCCGGAGAGACGCGGTGAACTCCGATCGTCGGAAACAGAGGGTATTGCAGAGTCACTCAGGCATGGTAGAGATCCCAATTGGTGGGGCGTAAATCGAACCCAAAGCTGAGGGATCCATTGGTGTAGCCACTATTAATCCGATAAGCCTTCCGGAGCGACTTAAAGGGGAAATCTCCGACGCCACCCTGGTAAGCTCCCCGGGGAAGTGGCCGGACCTCGACGGACGAAATCACCGGATCTCCGGCGCCCGGAATTGGAAGCAAGCAGAAAGAAGCAGTCTCCTTGCCAACAGGCCAAACAAACTCCTCACTCCATGGATCACTAGCAGTGAGGTTCACAGACGAAGTGATCGCCGTACCCTGCAATTATCGTTTACTTCTTTGAGAATTGCACCAACATTGATTACATCTCTCATATTAGATCTTCTTCCATTTTATTTGGAACCACATCATTTGTCTAGTATGATGTAATCGTAAATGAATAGTAGCAGCTTCTGCTTGGAGGCCTGGGATAGTTTATTCTCTGCAATGGCTGCTCCCTTTTGTACAGTTTCTGTGTTGACTACCTTTTCTTATGAGACAATGCTGTTACTACCTATTTTTAGCGACTTTCCATCTCTCGAGTTTATTTTCTTTTCCACATTCCTCTCTCCCACTTGTCACTGCACAAATAATCTTCGACATTTACATAAATAGTTGAAAAAATAATATATTATTTCTCGCAATTACTTCACGATGTGTAAGTTTTATTCTCCTAGTCCAAATGATGAATATTGGTAGCTAATGAATTTTTGATTTGGTTCTAGAAATTGTGATTTGTGAGTTCTTATTTATGAAAATTTTATTTATGGTTCTTTTATTTTGTTGAATTTTACAGTTCTTTTCTACTTCAAAGTTACATGATTTTTACGAGAAAACTAAACTACAGAAAGAAAGTTTTATTCTCCTACTTCAAAGTTACATGAATTTTACGGTTCTTTTCTGAGAGTTTTCTATTTAATTATACTTTCATTATACCTTAAGAGCTTGTCAAATTAATTCGGGTTTATGACTAGTGACCTTAACATATAAGACATATTTATTGGGATCTATAATATATATTATATTTCAAAGAGTGATTATTCTCACTAAAGGATACTTAAAAATTTCAGACTATTTATCAATAATCAAACACCTTAACGATAAATGCGTGATAGTTATAATGTTATTGCTCATGTGAAAATCAATCGGTCCAAATATAGACTTTCGTTGCGGTAAGAAAATTATTAATTTAAAATTTTATCCATTCATTCAATTATTTACCTAAAATCAAATAATTGAAAAATTAAGTGAAATAAGATACTTTCATAAACTTTATGTAGTGTCTTAATGGTTATAAATTTTTATATAATATATTTGTTTAATATTGATACATAAAAAAATAATTATCCCTTCATAAGTTTTAAGTGTCCTCGTTTTTTTTCCATATTATGGAAGAGTTACGTAATATGTTTGTTTAACATTGATACATAAAAAATAAATATCCCTCCATAAGTTTTAAGAATTTTATTTGTAATTTACGTAACTATTATCGAGCGGTGTTGCATTAATCTAATTCCATGTGTGGTGTAATAATAAAATCAAGTTACGAAAAGTACGACATTTGATTAAACTGTTATGTACAAGTTAACTCATCTTATAGAAATTTTACATAATACAAATTGATGAGATTATATATATTTTAGTTAATAATTACATAATTAAGTTATAAAATGCATCTTATTTGTTTAATTCAGTATCCCTCAATAAGCATTATGCAATGCCTTAATCATTATGAGATAGTTATGTCATAAGTTTTTCTATTTGATATATAAAAATAATTATTCCTCCATAATCTTTACACAATGTATTTCTAATCCAAGTAACTATTATAGAACGATATTGCATAAATCTTCTATAAAGTGTGATTTAATAATAAAATCAAGTTACGAAAGGCGTAATGTTTCATTGAACGATTATATAAAACTTATTTGACCTTATAAAATCTTTGAATAATGAAAATGGGTGATAATATTTTAGTTATTATAAAGGAATTAAGTTACGAAGAAGTATCACATTTGATTAAACTGTTATGTAAAATATAACTGATCTTACATAAATTTTGGTGTAAGTTGATGAGAATGCCAATAGTTTCGTTAATAACAATTGAAATTTGATCCAAACTTATATTTCGGTAGACATACATAATATGTTTGCTTAACTGATACATAAGAAATAACTCACCGCCCATCACTTTTACGTAGTGTCCTGACCATTACGAAAAGCTATTATAATACGTTTGTTTATTTGCTACATAAGAAATACTTATCCCTACATAAACTTTACATAATGTATGCGTAATTTACATGACTTTTATAAAAACAATTTTACATAAATCTTTCATAACACGTGATTTAATGGTAAAATATTCTAGTTTTCCTTAACCCAGCGCATTGACTTGGGAAACCCAAAGCAGATTACTCAAGTGTTTATTGAGGGTAATGGAATGAGCCTCACTTGGTCGTCCAAGGCAAAGCCCAGATAGATGATTAAGCGCAAATAATAAAGGTTAATGCGAAATTGTCGTAATGAACATGAATAGTATTTTGCTTGTGGCTTAATTATTATTATTAGAATAATTAAGACGCAAGTTTACTAAAAATTCATGCACTGTTTTTCAAGAAAAAATCTGAGGTTACTGTTCACAATGGGATTCGACTTCCGTGTATACTAACTCACGTGAGTTCATGTGTACTTATGTTGGGCTGGCCAAGCCCACCGTTAATTCCTTATCCCTAATTACTTTCTCTTTCTCCACTCCTCTCTCCTGTACGATTCTTCTCTTTTGATCTTTTCCCATTTTTCAAGAAAGACACTTTCCCCTCTCTCCTTTCATCTCCCCCAGACAAAACTGAATGTCACCTTCTTCTCCTCCCAAAATGGAACCCCGGCTTAATAATTTTAATTAATTTAGCGATCACCAAGCGGAGTTGAAAGAAAAGTGAAAACATGGCCTAAAAAACACTTTTAAGGTCCCTTTTAAGATCAAACAATTCGATCAAATTGAGTATGACTGTAAAAGTTGGATTGCTCAAATCTAGTGTGTTTGATGATCATTAATTGTTTTACGTCATAAGTTTTTTCTGACTCTTTTACTGAGATTTTAACCCCATTTCCCCCTCCCCCTCCCTCAAAAAAAAAAGGGGTTAATAGAAGTAATCGTATAACTTTTGCGATTAATTGGAGGCAGGTTATCCTTTTGGGATAATTTGTTTTCATACATTATAAATGCAAAATGAAACGTAAAGCGTACATTATGAACATGTATAATCTTGCATAAAAGCTCAACGACTAAAGTTACAGTTGCCAAAAGACTAACTCGTGCACTTGATTCGATTTATCTTCCTCCGCACCTTAAAAAAATTTAAGATGAGTTGTAATATTCATCAAGAAAAGGAGAGAAAAGATGATATACAATTTAGATTATTCGCATGACCTCAAATTATCAGTAACTGAACAAGTAAAGAGTTCATGCATGATGTTGTGATGTCGTTGGTAGAGAGCAATGTAGTGAAATTCGAAATAAGAAAGACCAGGTCAAGACTCAACCTAATTGTTATAAACGCGCTGCTACGGATCGGGAAATAGCCGGAATCGACAAAGCAAGAATAGGAAAGCGAGAATCGAAAACACGACACACGATTTACGTGGTTCACTAACACGATGTGTGTTAGCTACGTCCACAAGCGAGAGAGAGAGCCAATTTCACTATATCGGGGAGATTACAGATTACAGAGGAGTATGAGAAGTACTTATAGTACTTCTCCATGTGGGTCTAAACCTAATCCAATATGGCAAAGGAAATGGTTACAGACCAGGCCCAGAACCCGAACCCAAATAACATCGAGCCCATACACCGTGGGCCGGGGGCGTTGCCCTCGCACCCCCACTGGGGCGTTGCCCCTGGACCCCACTCGCTGACCGGTCAGCGAGACCCCTGATTACCAGTCGTAGCGGCTGATAGTCCGATTCAAGTTACATCAACAAATCTCCACCTTGACTTGAATCCTCTTCCTCTGAAATCTCTGATGTACTCTGCTCCTTCTCTCTCTCTCTCCCGCCATCAATGCCCCGCAGGGCGGAGTCACCCACTCAAGACATTCAGCAAAGTCCAAGTAGTGTTGGAACTTGCCATGTGGAACCGGCTTCGTGAACATATCAGCAGGATTATCCGCGGTGCCAACCTTCTTCACCTTAATCCTCTTCTCTGTCCTCAAGAAATGATACCTCACGTCGCAATACACCTGTGCCTGGTGATGATGTAGACCCAGATCACCAACCAGTCCCTTCAACCATATTCTCCTCTTAGCAGCTTCTGTCAACACCATATACTCTGCCTCAGTAGTAGACAATGTCACCGCTGACTGCAAAGTTGCCTTCCAGCTCACTACAGAACTCCCAAGAGTGAATACATAACCGGTCATCGATCTCCTCGTGTCAACATCTCCTGCATAGTCCGAGTCAGAATACCCAGACACCAAGCACTCTGTATCACTTCCGAAGCTAATCCCCACATCAGGTGTACCTAGGGATGGCAATGGGGCGGGTTTGGGGCGGGTTTGTTTAAACCATCCCCATACCCATCTTCAAATACCCAAACCCATACCCGCCCCATACCCATGCGGGAGAATGTTTTGCAAACCCATCCCCATACCCGTGAGTTTCGGATACCCATGGGTAATACCCATACCCGTACATCCAACATTATTATACCTAAAACTTACAAGAAAAGTTCTAATTATAACTCTAAAAGAACATATTATATCATGAAGTCAACAAAACACGGTCATTTTTTTAATATGGTTCAAAGATTATGATCCTAAAATATCCATTAATGCATAATATAGAGTATAATATTTTTCAAATTATTATGTTCTAACTTTGATACATCTACTAAATAATAATTAACTAACATAATCTTGTTGACAAGGGGGAAAGTGAAAGAGTGAAATGAGAATTGAGAGAAATGAGAATTGAGAGAAATGAATTAGATTTTGGTTAAGGTGGTCACTCAATTGCATTTCTACTATTTATTTTCTCAAGTTATCCTCATCATCATTGATAGATTATAATTTGGTACACATATTTTTTTTTATATATGAAGAAATTATCTTAGTGGGGCGGGTATGGGGATGGGTATAAGGCGGGTAAGGCTAAAACCATACCCGCCCCATACCCATCAAACTTTTTGCGGGTTTTACCCATACCCGCCCCATACTCGGTCAAAGCGGGGATTCCCCGCGTTGACTGGGTCGGAGGCGGTCCGACACCCACTGCCATGGGTTTGATTGCCATCCCTAGGTGTACCCTTAAGGTACCAGAAGATCCTCTTCACAGCCTGCCAATGCTCCTTCCCAGGTTGTATCATAAACCTGCTGACAACACTAACAGCATGTGCAAGATCAGGTCTAGTGCATACCATAGCGTACATCAAGCTATCTACTGCACTTGCATATGAGACTCTCGACATGTACTCCTTCTCAGCATTTGACTGCGGCGCATAAGCTGACGATAGATGAACATTTGAAGCACTGGGAGTATTTAAGGGCTTTGCTGAAGACATGTCAAACCTCGACAGTATCTTCTGGATGTAGCTCTTCTGTGACAAGAAAAGCTTCTTCTTCGACCTGTCCCTGTAAATCTCCATACCCAAGATCTTCTGAGCAGTTCCCATATCCTTCATCTCAAACTCAGCACTGAGAAGCCCCTTTAACTTCTGGACATCAGACTTTGACCTCGCAGCTATGAGCATATCATCCACATACAGAACAAGATAGATCATCGAACCATCCTCCACCTTGTTGTGATACAAACAACAATCATATGGACTTCTGCTATAGCCCAGCTCAAGCATGTAACTGTCAAATCTCTTGTACCATTGCCTCGGAGACTGCTTAAGTCCATACAAGGACTTCTTCAGCTTACAAACATAGTCTTCTTTTCCCGGAACCTCGAATCCTTCTGGCTGAGTCATGTAAATTTCTTCCTCCAACTCTCCATGTAGGAAAGCTGTCTTCACGTCTAGCTGCTCGAGCTCCAAGTCATAATGTGCCACTATTGCTAGTAGCACTCTGATCGAAGTATGTCTGACCACTGGTGAGAAAATCTCATTGTAGTCAACTCCTTCCCTTTGCGAGAAGCCTCGTGCAACCACCTGAGCTTTAAATTTCATGCCCTCTTTAGAAGTGATTCCTTCCTTCTTCTTATAGATCCACTTGTTTGTAACAATCTTCCTTCCATGTGGTCGTTTGACTAGCTCCCAAGTCTGATTCCTGTCATGGGATTCCATCTCATCTCCCATTGCGGCAAGCCATTGATCAGCTTCGCCACCCGAAATGGCTTCTCTATAGGACTGTGTCTCTCCTGCATCCACTTCTTCAGCAACCTGAAATGGATACGCCACCATGTCCTCTAAGCCATACCTCTGTGGAGGTACTCCTGCAGTCGCTCTCTTCGGTCTACCGGAATCAATAGACTGTTGAGCTCCTGCACTGGACTCTGAAGTTTCTGGCTCTGCAGAGACATTCTCATCATGTTGATCTTCTCCACCTTGGTGCTCAAACTCACTCTCTTTGAGAGTTTGCTGCTCCACCTGCTTATCAACATTCCTGCTACCTTCAACAACAGTAACCTTCAACATGGGGTTAAACATAGACTTCTCATCAAATATCACATTTCTACTGACTATAACTCGATGCTCAGAAGATGACCATACTCGAAATCCCTTAACTCCATCTCCGTAACCCACAAATACACCCTTCTTTGCCCTTGGGTTCTGTTTACCCTCATCCACATGATAATAAACAGGACACCCAAAAACTTTTAGTGAAGAGTAATCAGCAGGCTTACCATACCACACCTCATAAGGAGTCTTCAACTCGATACCTATGTGAGGTCCACGGTTGATCAAGAAGCATGCCATGTTCACTACTTCTGCCCAGAACCTTCTCTCTAGTCCAGCATTAGAGAGCATGCACCGTGCTCTCTCCAACAATGTCTGGTTCATCCTTTCTGCAACGCCATTCTGCTGGGGTGTATCTCTCATGGTCCGATGACGGGCAATCCCTTCATCCTTGCATAATTCGTTGAACTCAGAATTACAGAACTCCAGACCATTGTCCGTTCGCAGCTTCTTGATCTTCTTCTCGGTCTGATTCTCCACCAATGTCTTCCACTGCTTGAACTTCGTGAAAGCCTCACTTTTCTGCTTCATCATGAAAATCCAAGTAAATCTCGAATAATCATCAATAATAGACAGAAAATACCTGCTGCCTCCAATGGATTCAACTCGTGAAGGACCCCAACAGTCAGAGTGGAGGTAATCCAGTATCCCCTTCGTCCGGTGGATACCCTTCTTGGGAAACTTGCTGCGATGTAGCTTCCCAAACACACAATGCTCGCAGAATTCCAAATTCTGCATCTTGTGCCCGCAATGAAGATCGCTCTTCGACAGAACTTGCATCCCCCGTTCACTCATATGTCCCAGTCTCATGTGTCAGAGAGTGGTCATATCTTTCTGATGAACCTGAGACGATGCAACTGCAGCAGAACCAGACAACACAGGCCCTTGTAATGCATACAAGGTCCCACGCTTCACGCCCTTCAGCACCTTCCTTGAACCTTTGCAGACATACACAACTCCACCTTTTCCTTTGAAACTGAAACCCTTGCTTTCGAGTAGACTCAAGGAGATCAGGTTCTTTGTCATTCGTGGAACATGCCTGACATCATTCACGGTACAGAACGAACCATAATATGCCCGAACCTTTATGGACCCGATTCCAACAACCTTGCAGATAGCTCCATTTGCCATGACCACGTTACCACCATCTATCTGCTCGTAGGTTTTGAAGCAATCCCTGTTCGGAGACATATGGTATGAGGCTGCAGAATCCGGAAACCACACATCCCCACGATGTGCCTTCTCATCTTCAGAACTGTTGTCCACTTCTGCCACGGCAACTAAACCTTGTTTCTTCTGTTGCCCTCTTCTCTTGGGACAGTTGTACTTCCAATGCCCCACTTACTTACAGTTGTGACAAGCATCACTTGGCTGTGGACCGGGACCCTTGGAATTCTTGTTCGAATTTCCTTTACCAGATTTCTTCTTTCCCTTTCCACCTGTAATAGCCAAACCTGATGCCTCACCACATGTACCAGATCCGGACGCCTTATGTCTAATCTCTCTCGTATGAAGAGCAGACCTGACATCTTCCAACGACACGCTTTCTTTACCGGCAATAAAAGAGTCAACGAAATTCTCACATGAACTCGGCAAAGAAACCAGCAGGATTAGGGCAGCATCCTCGTCATCAACTTGAACATCTATATTACGCAGATCCAGCAAAATAGAGTTAAGTTGTTCGAGATGTTCTCTCAAAGGCGTACCTTCTTGCATCCTCAAGCTGAACAACCGTTGCTTGAGATGCAACTTGTTGGTTAAGGACTTCGTCATATACAGACTCTACAACTTTAACCACAAGCCCGCGACAGTCTTCTCAGCAGTGACTTCAATGCTGACGTCATCAGACAACGATAACATGATGGTCGAATGGGCCTTCTCCTCTAGGGTATTCCACTCATCGTCATCGACCGCTGCCTTCTTCTGTTTCGCAGACAGCGACCCCCACATCCCTTGCTATTTCAATAAAGCCTGCATCTTGATCTGCCATATAGCGAAGCTGTTCTTCCCCGTGAACTTTTCGATCTTCATGTTCACCGACGTCATTCTTCTGAATCGAAAACCCTAGCCTGATTTCCAGTCGCGGCTCTGATACCACTTGTTATAAACGCGCTGCTACGGATTGGGAAATCGCCGGAATCGACAAAGCATGAATACGAAAGCGAGAATCGAAAACACGACACACGATTTACGTGGTTCACTAACATGATGTGTGTTAGCTACGTCCACGAGCGAGAGAGAGTCAATTTCACTATATCGAGGAGATTACAGATTACAGAGGAGTATGAGAAGTATTTATAGTACTTCTCTATGTGGGTCTAAACCTAATCCAATATGGCAAAGGAAACGGTTACAGACCAGGCCCAGACCCCCATTACCAGTCGTAGCGGCTGATAGTCCGATTCAAGTCACATCAACACTAATGTCATGCATATGTTTCTTAACCGATATTATTATCTAGAATCACATATCTTCTCTTTTGTGAATATGCATAAAAACACTTATTGAGTGTGTAGATTTTGTGCAGTAACAAACACTATTTATTTCTCATTCCCTCCAAAACTCGACATATTCAATAAATGTAGTCTAAGAGTAGAAGATTCGTTCTTTTCTTCAACTTCTCTAGTTCCTCTTCTGTTCGAGATGAAGAGATTGAGAAGAAGAATTAATATTAGAGAGATAAGAAAGATGGGGCATGAGTTTCATGGTGGCGACCAGATTTCCAGATTCAACGATTTTGCAGGTCCCTCACCGGCCACTCGTATTAGACCAGCCCCAACTCCAGTTGCGAAGGAAATCAGTCAACGACCACCCTCCGCCATGCCTCAGTTGCCTAACGTTCCCGGCGGATTGAAAGCGGTGGCTTTCTCAATCCAGATCTAAGACCGACATTGGATGGCGACGATGGAACACGCATTGGATGGAGACAGAGGATTCCATCGATTGTTTCTGCGCTTGAGCAGCAGCCAGACACTATTTCAATCGACGAATCGAAATCTCGAGGGTTGAATCTGATTTCGGGGAATCAACAAGATTGCCTCTCCATTGCGGCAGCGGCAACGATAGGTGGGGAGATTGGGAAAGAGAGGAGGTGGGCGGCGATTTGAGAAAACAAGATTGTTTCTGCGCTTGAGCAGCAACCAGACACTATTTCAATCGACGAATCGAAATCTCGAGGGTTGAATCTGATTTTGGCGAATCAACAAGATTGCCTCTCCATTGCGGCAGCGGCAACGACAGGTGGGGAGATTGGGAAAGAGAGGAGGTGGGCGACAATTTGAGAAGGGAAGAATTTGGAGGAGAGAACTGGAGAGTCGAAGAGATGGAGATTGGATTTGCATGCGGAGGGATTTGAGGCAGAGCAGCCGGAACTAAGGCGGGGGAAGATTCTGATCGGAGGTTGGCAGGTAGGTTTGTCCAGGTGAAGAGGATGAGCATGCCTACGGAGAGGAGGAAGAGGAGTCGAAGTCGAAGGCTTGCTGAGGAAAATCTTGGAAGAGAGAACTAGGGAGTCGAAGGGAACTGGGGAGTCGAAGGCTTGCGATAGGTAGAGGAAGAAGTTTGATGGTGACGATTGAAGTTGCCGGTAATTCGGTAACCGGGTTGTTAACCGTTAGCCGGTTAGTCGGTAACCCGGTTAACCGGTTTCCACTCGGTGTCGGTTGTCGGCATCCATTTGGGAGGTTTCGGTATACCGATAACCGGCTAAGCGGTTACCGGTTAACCGGTAACCGTACCGATTACTAGCCCTATTTCAGATATAGTAATTTGGTTTGCTGCCAGAACCTAGTAGGTAGGGCTGGCTATTTGGTCCGGACTGTTTGGTTTTATCCGAAACCGGACTGTATAACCCGGATCGGGACCGGACTGGGACGGGATAGCAAACAATCCAATCTCATATTCGGGCTTAGATTTGAGGTAAAAAAACCGGATAAAGATCGGATAAGAGACCCCCAACACCTAAAATCAAGATCAAATTGGGACCGGACTGGGTCAAGACCAGATTGTATCCAATTCAATTTTTGGTCCTTATATTCCCGAAAAGACCGGATTGGAACTGGATCAATTTGATCAAATTTAACCGGATTGAACTGTATAGCCATCCTACTCGTAGGTAGTACTAATTCCTACTACTGCACACATTACAGTTAAGCATTTGCACTTTTAACATAATTCGGATAAGGGTTCTTTTCTTTCTTTTCGGTCATGACGGTATATGAGCAAACCCAATCCAGTCTCATTTTAAGAACTTTTGCATTTCAGACTTTAACTAAAGTGCAAAGGAGATCAAACAAGAGGATAAGTAATAGATATACACTAATTACTTTTCCCTTTTGTGTAACATATTGTTTGGCCCTAGTGTAGTCATCACTGACCGCTTTTGACACCACACAACCTCACTAAGGTCGAATTCAGGCATCCCCTTTATCCACCAAACTTTGTGCCAATTTGATTTGACTGTAAAGGAGCTAGTGCATAGTGGGCAAAGCAAATGTTGAAAATAACCCATGTAAATGGTATGTTGACATCTATTTAAGGCATCATTTCATAGTTGTTGGTATCAGTGAGTGAAATTGCAGTATATACAGAGAAAGCTCAACCTCTAGTTCCATTTCACAACTCTTCCTCTTATCTCTCGTGTTTCACTCATTACATTCTTGACAATTGCAACACAGCTTGCCATGAAGTTCCTGAATACACAAAGCATGAGAAGAATCCCGTTGTTGAGGCAGGGGAAGAGATCAATTCCTAGCAGCACATCAGCGGCTGCCATGGCGTCCATTGTTGACAGGAAGACAAAGGTTTCGTTCGGTAGCCGCAGGAGGAGTAGTAGGTATGTCCCTACGCGATGGGTTTACAAGCTGAGGGCGCAGTGGAAGCGGGCTATCGGCTGGCAGCAGAAGGGCAGCAACAGCAGCAGTTCACAGTTCAGCTATGACATCCGTAGCTACGCTCTCAACTTTGATGATGGTGGTTGCCTTGATCAGGTCCTTAGAAGTCACGTTATTTCTAGATGACAAGCTTGGAGCTTTGATCTCAATTCTTCTTCCTCTTCCTCTAGCAATAAGACAGAGTCGGTACTCTTGGGAATCAGATCATTTGTATAGTATGTAAGGGTATATGTTTAGCAGCTTCTACGGCCAAAGTTCAAAAAGGCGCTAGACGTAAGGCGGACGTTGAGTCTTTGCCTAGCGACTAGTTCGCCTAGGCATAGATTAAGCGTGCTTAGGCGTTCGAAGAAAAAAGCTATTCACACTACATGATGAATGAAATAATAATTTACAATACTTTCGCACTTCAGTTAAAATGATTAATAACTTACTCAACACTTAATGACAAGAACATAACTCAAGAATTCATAGAATCATAACTCAATAGCTCACAAATTTCTTGAGCTATTGAAAATATTGATTTAGAAAATTGATTCGTAGTTGATGTTATTTTTCTCCTTTAATATTGACTTACTAGCTTCATCAAGTTGTGTTTAGGAGAGACTTATATGTCGTCTTACTCCATTGACGTATTCCAGTATCTAATTAGAGGCGAAACCCCAAGGCGAAGCGTTTTGTCATTACCTTGAATCTAGGCGTGCTTAGGCGTAAGATTGAGCGTGCCTTTTTGAACCATGCCTGTGAAAGTTTATTCTCTTCTATGGTCGTTCCCTTCTGTACAGTTTCAGTATGGGCTCCCTCATTTGGGCTAAACTGTGTTACTAGCTTTTGCTCGGCATAATTGAGAAATTTATGTAACTACACATTTCCTATTAATGCATGTATTATAGATGTATATGTTAAGTTGTGTTTTGATCATAACCGAAACATAAAAGGTCATATTTTGAAGAAAAAAATCACATTTATCCGCGAAGAAAAGAACTGGCCAAGAATGGACAAGAATGAATTGAGCAGTTTAGAGATTAGTTTTGGACAATTAGTTGTGACAATTTAAGTCCAGTCCAATCCATCCATTAGAAATTCAATTAATGCAGTCCATTCAAATCCAAATCCAATGGATTAGTGAATGAATTTATGAATTGTTCTAAAAATATAGTGTAATATTTATATATTCTATATTTTACAATTTAATAACTAAACTTTGATTTGTTATGAAAAATCTACTTCAAAAGTAAACGTTTGGTAGCTAATTTTTATATTGACTTTTATAAATCAACCAATTCATGAATTCGTTCCATTTACACTTTCGAGAGCAAGTAAACTAAAGTATAAAAGAAAAGGGGGTTGTGGCATTAGATCTCTGTAATTAGAAACTAAAAAGAGGTAAGGATGAGTTTTTTATTTTATTTTTTATTTCAACAAAGGGAGGGTCAATGAGTGGAAATAGTGAGTTTCAAAGGATGATGTTATGCATACTTTTTTCATTGTTGGGTTGTGGTGTGGGTTATTTTAAAACAAGTATAATTATTTAATTTTACTTATTATTGTTTTTAATAATTAAGATAAATAAATTTATAACAAGAAAATCATTCTCGTACAATGAAGGTGCGTCGCCCACAATTGTTTGAGGTGTGTCGGAAGTCCCAAATTAAAAAAAAAATTTGTAATAAAATATATAAGTGATTCACAAAATTTCCGAACAAGGGTGTATCCCAAATTTCCGGGCAACACACCCTACCCTTCCTAGGTCCGCCCCTGACCACAATGGAGTGGAAGTAAAGAGAAGAAAAGAAGCGGATGGAGTATTTAAGTGTCGCAGCAACATAAAGATGTAATTTTTATAGATTAGGTATTAGAATGAAAATTAGAATATGACTAGTTAGTGATGATTGTATACATTTAGGTAGCACTATGTAAGTTTCGTTTGTATCCGATGAGTAACAAACTCAATTACTTTTCCCGCTCCTATTCTCTCTCTTCTCTAGCAAACTCTGTATAAATGATTATACTAGATTGATTAGCAGGTCACGTTTTCAATTGAAATTGATCATCAATAAAGAATACTTCAGAAATCTAATGTGATATCAGTGCCCTACCGAGCTCGACGCGTCCTCTCTTGCTTCTGAAATTCGTTTCCCCCTCTTTCTGTAAAATCCTAGTTCATTATCCTATGGGCACTTTCACTAATTCTTACTCAGGCAACGATGTCGATCGAAGGATTCCTCACACTAGAGGACCTTCAGGCAACACAACTTTGCTAAGCTATAATGGAGTTTTTGTGACAGATCCATCAAGTCCGTTTTTCATCCATCCCAGTGAAAATTGGGGACAGTGTTGGTCTTGCAACCTCTTATAGAGTCCAATTTCTTTAATTGGGAGAGATCGATAATCCTCATTCTTGACGACAAGAACAAGCTATGATTTCTTAATGCAATATTACTACATACTCCTCTTGTAGGAAAAAAGTAAAATGAAGATGAGACAAGAGAGATGTGAGGTTAGTAGTGGCAAAACCGGAACTTAGAGTGAGAAGGAGTTGAAAATAACACTTTGCAACAAATTTTCGAGACTGAACCTAAATTTTGGAAGAGGGGAACTAATAGTTCCCATCCTACTGCTTTTTAATATTTTCTCAACATATGGATATACATTATAACCTTAGATAAAAGAAATTGATAGGAACTATAGAGAGCGGATTAGTGGTATAACTTTGTGGTCAATAATTCATGGAAGGCCCCTAACCATTTCTCTTATAAATTTTAAAGGCATATATCTCTTTGGTTTTAAGTCATAATTTTTTTGCATAGATAAATTGTACTATTCAAAAGGATATCCACTTTGATATATTTTTGGAACTAAAAACTGAGACATTTAGTACCCATCTATACCAAGTTGGTACTGCTTGGTACTACATAAGATCATACCACATGGTACGGAAGTATACCATAGTGGTATGAACATAACACAGTGTATGATGGTTGAAATACATGATAGTTTGTATTTTCCCCTATAAATTTGTAGATTCAATAGATCAAGAAGATTTCATTCCATCTGTGCAAAATTTTGTAGAATTTGAGTTAAAAACAAAGATCCTAACAAGTGGTATGGATTTGTTTTTCAAAATATATTGAAAAAGAATTTGAATTCTTTTAGTTTTAGTAGTTTCAAGTTCCCGACGCATAAATTAACGCGCTTCAGTTAGTGACAAATAATTATTTAGATTCATCACTTTGATTTATCTACTGAGATTCTTCTTCTGCCATGTCCTCCAATTTTGGTATAACTCCAACTGTTGATGATCAAATTTTTCCTTGCCAAAGTTATTTGGATGCTTGATCTCCATGAGCCATATATATAGAAAGCATTTGTAACTTCTTCTCCTGTGGCCCATCATGACTTCATATTTCATATTTAAGCGAGACCGCGAAGAGGCTCGGCGGTACCGCGGTACTTGAAACGATATTGGTTGCAGACCAAGTGTGAGTCATGCGTAGGACATGTGTTGCTGTTGGACAAGGAATGTTTTTTATTTTATTTTTCCTTGTCGGAGGAGGAGAGTAACAGCACCGTTTGGAGTCAAGCAATGCTGCGAAGAGATAAAACGGTGCCGCGAACCTCAAAGCTCAACGACATCGCGAGACTGGGAAACGGTGTCGTTTGGCTAAAAACGACACCGCGACAAGCGGCATCGCGAATGAGTTAAAACAGTACCGCAAGGAAGCTCAGCGGTACCGCGACACTGGAAACGACACCGTTTACTGAAAATAAAAGGGACCGCGCGTTTTAGTGTAGGTGTCGGGGAAGGAGTTTTTTTGTTTATAATTAATTATTATTTTTATTCCTTGTTGGAAGGGGAAAATCGGTACCGCATAGAGATAAGCGGTATCGCGGAGAATTAAAACGGTACCGCGGATTTAAAAACAATGTCGCGGGAGGCCTTGATAAGCGGTGCCGATTAAATAAAAAAAAATCCTATCGGGTAAGTGAAGGGCCTAAATACCGCCCAGCCCAATGCGAGTGAAAACTCTCGGCGGTTCAATGAATTGGATTTATTTTGGCTATGTTAGCGGTATCGTTTAATTAAAAACGGTACCGCGAGTAAGCCCAACGGTACCGCTGTATTAGCAAACGACAGTGTTTAAATATTTAAACAATGTCGCGGAAAAAAAAACGGAGCTGTTTGGAGAAGAAAACGACACCGCGGAGCTTGAAAACGATATCGCGTGAGGAATCAGCAATACCACGGTGGTGGATAAAGCCGCGAGCTAAACAACATTACGGTGGAGAGAGATGTTGCGGTCGCGAATCTAGCAGCGTTGCTAGTGCGACAATGCCGCGAAGTTCAATAATGCCGAAAGGCCAAAGCAACATCGTGGAGTTCAACGAAGGCCATCGACTTTGTGTGGTCGACGACGCCGAGAGATCAACAATCTAGCGGCGAGTACGCGGTGACGAGGGTGAAACAACGATGTTGTTTTAATCGATGGCGGTATCGTGATTCGAACCATGGTACAAAGTTGATGTGTGTGCACGTGACTTTTACGCAAAGCAGAAAGAGGAGATCGAGGCAGTTGAGACACGTGGGATTTCAGGACGGAGCAGTTGAGGAAGCAGTTCCATAGAGCGTGAAGACTACGAAGTTGGTTTTAGATAAAATCAACCCTGCAAGGAGAGAGGGGACGGCCAAATCAATACAGAAACACATCTGTCAAACTTTACCTTTTTTCTCTGTAACTCCTTCGCGGAGCTCTCCTTCCAGGAAGGATCTCCATAGTTGTAGTCTTAGTCGTAGTTGCGGAGCTCTCCACAGGAATCTCCATAGGAGTAGCGGTAGCATAGATTCCTCAAAACTCAAACACCCTCGTTCGAACGTAGTTTGGAGAGGTGCGAACCGTAGTAACGGTCGTTCTTGGTTAGAAGTCAGAGGTGCATCGATCAAATCAACACCGCCCGGCGGTAGATATTTGACGGTCACGTTGATTTCACCATTTAGAGGTGCATCGATCAAATCAACGGCGCCGACAATCGGCAGCGGATATTTGACGGTCGTCTTGATTTCAGCAATCAGCGGTGCATTCGATCAAACGGCACCGCAAGAGTTTCCATCGCGAAACATCAAATCAACATCGCCGGAAACAAATTTGGCACCGACGGTGGCATTTTGTTTTCCCGAGGAAACATTCAGATTATAGTAATTTGGTTTGCTGTCAGAACCTAGTAAGTAGTACTAAGGGGTCGTTTGCTTGTTGGATTTGAGTCATGGATTTGGTATCCAAATCCCAAGATTGATGGATTTAACATAAGTCCATTGTTTGTTGAAGGGTGCTAAAGCTGTGGGGTCCACGGATTTGGTCTTTATTTTGGAACCAAATCCGTGGACCCCACGGACTTGTAAATCCCACATATTGATTTGGGATTTGCAAATCCTTGATGGTTAGTTATTTATTTAACAAATTCATCATCAAACCTATCATGCAAACATTAGACTCTTCAAATCCATAATCCAATAAATCCAACATAAATCCCAAGGTTTTTATTGGCCAAAGCCCTTATTTTTCAAATCCAACAAGCAAACGACCCCTAATTATTCCCTACTACTTCACACATTACATGTAAGCAAATGCACTTTACCATTCGGATAAGGGATCTTTCATTCTTTTCGGTCATGACGGAGCAGACCCATTCCAGTCTCATTTAAAGAACTTTTGCCTTTCAGACTAAGGAAAGCGCAAAGGATATCAAACAAGAGGATTAGTCATAGATAGACATTAATTACTTTACCCTTTAGTGTAACATGTTGTTTGGCCCTAGTGTAAAAGCTCCCTTGTCATCACTGACCTCTTTTGACACAACACAACCTCACTAAGGTCGAATTCTGCTTCATCCCCCAACTTGGTGGCAATTTGATTTGACTATAAAGTAGCTAGTGCCTAGTGGGCAAAGCAAAAGTTGAAAATAACCTCACTGATGGTATTTGACATCTATTTAAGACTCATCATTTCATAGTTGTTGGTATCAGTGAGTGAATTTGCAGTTTATACAAAGAAAGCTCAACCTCTAGTTCCATTTCACAACCCTCCCTCTCTCATTGTGTTTCATTCATTACATTCTTGACATTTCAGCACAGTTTGCCATGAAGTTCCTGAATACACAAAGCATGAGAAGAATCCCGTTCTTGAGGCGGGGAAAGAGAATTCCTAGCAGCACATCAGCTGCTGCGCCCATGGCATCCATTGTTGACAGGAGGACAAAGGTTCTGTTAGGTAGCCGCAGGAGTAGTAGTAGGTCTTATGTCCCTGTGCGATTGGTTTACAAGCTGAGGGCGCAGTGGAAGCGGGCAATCGGGTGGCCGCAGAAGAGCAGCAACAGCAGCAGTTCGCAGTTCAGATATGACATGGGTAGCTACACTCTCAACTTTGATGATGGTGGTTGCCTTGATCAGGTCCTTAGAAGCCATGTTGTTTCTAGATGAGAAGTTTGGAGCTTTGATCTCAATTCTTCTTCATTTTCTTTAGCAATAAGCCATGTTGTTTCTAGTATGTAAGGGTATATGTTTAGCAGCAGCTCCTCCTGCGCATAGTCATTGGCAAGCCTGTGAAAGTTTATTCTCTTCTATGGCTGTTCCCTTCTGTATAGTTTCTGTATCGGCTCACTTTTCATTTGGGACAATACTAGGTGATGCTGCGCCTTGTCGCTGGGTGGAAATGGTCTATGGGCATGTATTATGTGGCCCGTTATGGTGGTTTGTTAGTATTATTACTCTAAAATTAATTTTTCATTAGCAGTTTTGTTAGTAATATTTGCTTGAAAATATGATATTTATTGAGAATAGGTATATTGAGGTTAACATCCAATTAAAAAAATTTGGAAATTTTGGCTAATAAATGATATTTACCTAAACCCAAGTAGACTCATTGATTATGGGTAGGTATGGCTGACGTATATATGGGTTTGAATGTTTGTAGATGGGTTTGGGTAGGGTATGTATATTTATTTTCATAATCTAAATGTGTATGGGTTGGGTATGGATACACATTTATTCGAGAGTCTTTTAATTACATATACCAAAGTTAGACCTATTTGTAGAACTTCAAAAGTTTAGGTACCAAAATGTAATACCCAAAAATTTTAGGTACTAAAATGTAATGTTTCATCAATATTTTGAGGACTTATGTGCAAAAAAAGGGTTATAAATCTAATGATTTATTAATTTTAGGTACCGAACTGTAATTTGTATAGTTGAGGCTTAATTCCTTTATAATGATGTATTTAAGATGATAATTATTTACTTTTTTATAGAAAAATGGAAACTATTATTTGATATGTGTAGATACCTAGCCAAACATTCCATGTATAATTGTTGAAAATTCTAGCCTGGGTGAAAAAGAAAAACTTTTGAAAGAAACAAAAGGAATACAAACTGTAACTCGCTTAAAATTTCACGCCTTCAAATTCCATAATGGAAAATGATGACTTTCTAATAAGTAATAACCATATATATTTATTTTTAATTGGACTCGACATTGAGCTGAAAAAGTTAGTGGTTCATGGTTCAATTATTAATTTTCTAGACTGTTGGTAAGTCGTGTATGGACCCGTTGATACTTGTGATTAGAATACATAAAAACTGTATACTGATTAGGGTTAGACGAAGAAGGCTAAGAAAAAAATAAAGAAAGGGTTATGGAAGGCTAGTGAAAAATGAAACGAAGAGGAAGTAGATGATGGAAAGGTTTTGACCAATTCTTTTAGTTAGCCGTCAATACAACAATAAACCATTTTCACGGTAGCAATTTATTGATACTTGCTTATGTAGATGTCGCCTATTTTGTTATATGTAGTTAGTAGATGTTTGTTTAGTACCCCGTAAATGTAGTAAATTTTAGAGTCCTCTCTCTTTTATCATTTCTTTAATGTTTCACGTAATGAGCAAATATAAAATGGTCGAAGAGCACTTCTACTATGCTATATAGTATTGGTGTTTTAATGTACAATTTGAAGTTGTACCATAACAATAAATGTATAAGTTAATGTTGTACCGTAAAGGAATTTGTAGCATTATGATATGGTACAATTTTACAACTTGAAGTTGTACCATCACATAAAGGTACAAGTTCATGTTGTACCATAAAAGAATTTGTACAAAAACTATAGGTACAATCTGAAGTTGTACCATAACGCTAAGGTACAATTTCAAGTTGTACCATAAAGGCAAAAACCTATAGCACCAATGTTATATAGCATTGCAAAACTCCTCAATGGTCGAATATTCTCCTACAGTTGAGTGATACAACATCTTGTATGGTACAAACTAAATTTATACTATTATGTTATTATGGATTGGATTCATGCATTGATTCAAAAGGATTGGTGGATTGGATTCATGGATTCAAGTGAAATCTAAACATTGGACCAATATGTAAATTTAAAAAAATTGTAGGTACGAAAATCTCATAAAATTTAGATACCAAAACATAATTGTTCAATGATTTTACATTAAAATTAAATTTGGAGCGTCAAAATGTAAAATGTACATTATAGTGACTAAGTTGTAATTTAATTAAATTTGGGGTATCAAAATATAAAATGTACAACCACCAAATTAGCTTGCGAGTTTAGGCAACATTAAACTCACTTATGCTTTATATATATATTACTTATGCTTTATATATATTAACTGTTAGTAGCATTTTCTCCGTATAATTAAGAAATTTATGTAACTACACATTTCCTTTGAATGCATGTTACATAAATGTATGTATTATGTTGAGTTCTGACTGTAATAGAAAAATGAAATGCAATATTTTGAAGAAACAGTCACATTTATCCAGAGAGAAAACAACAATCAAAGCAAAGAATAAAATAACGGAGAAGAACCAATTGAGTAATGGAGAGATTAGTTTATGAAGCCGACATAATAAAAACTTCATCATCCAATCCTCAAATCCGTTCAAGAACAAGGAGTAACCAAATCAAGAAGGGGAAGATAAATCCAAATTTGAGCGATGTCTTGTTCTTCTCTTTCGTACAATTTCTCTCTCCCCCTCTACGATTTCTTTGTTACATGGTCCTTTCATATTATATGTTTATCAAGTAATTGCACAAATTCGGATCCAAGTTGATTGTATTTAGGTGTAAGAGCAATCCCCAATTTCTAGGGTTTTGGCCTTTTGGGCTACCTTAGTGTTGACACCTAAAATTATTTTGCATTGAATTAAATGCCGCATTAATTAGTCTCGCCATTTAATTCGATACCGCAGGACAAAAAACGGTGTCGTTTGGTGTTGAGCGGCATCGCGGAGAGTTAAAACGACACCGCGAGGAAGCCCAACAACACTGCGGTACTTATAAAGACATTGTTAAGGGAAAAACATTGTCGGATTCACTCTGCTAGTTGGTGTTGTTATTGTAAAAGGAATGCTTTTTGTTTATTCCTTGTCGGAGCAGAAGAGAAACTACACCGCATAGAGACAAGCGGCATCGCGGATGGGTAAAACGAAACCGCGGATTAGAAAACGATACCGTGAGAGACCTTGGTAATTGATGCCGATTAATTAAGAACCATATCAAGTAAGTGCTTGGTCCAAAATCCGCCAAGCCCAACACGAGTGCAAAGTCTCGGCTGTTTATTGAATTGGTATTGTTTGGTTATGTTGGATGGTGTCGTTGATTAAAAACGATATCGCGAGTAAGCCCAACGATACCGCTTAAGGCATCAACAACGCCGCGGTATGGGTAAAACGACACCGTTTAATTAAAAAAAATACACCATAGCGCGGTGACGAGAGTTCAACAATGGCGTGTGTTTGACGACGTTGCGGACTCGACGAGGTAATCTTAACTTCTCTTGACAAAAAATGGATAATCTTAACTTCTCTTGACAAAAATATGGATAATCTTGAAAAAATATAGATCGATGGTGTGATAAGTTGGATGGCTGTGTTTCAGATTTTAATATGTCAATATGTAGAGCCACGTATGATTTTGATGTGTTTAAATATGAAACCATGTCCGTTGTGTTTGATGATACTGCGGTGGTTGGGCGACCATCTAATGTCAACCAAACTCCATCGCCGAGTCTGGCTACGGTAGTGTTGCCAGAAGCTAGCGAATCTGATGTGTCCCTTCATGTGACCAACATTGTTCTTAAGGACACACCTGAAGGTGCACTGAAGAGGGCACTACAAAGAGGTTTGAATCAATGTGATTCTAGTAGGTTTGAAAACACGAATATGGATGGACGATCCAGTCACGAGCGTGTTGAGCATGAAAAGCTCCACTCTGATGTGTTGTCAAAGGAGCATCACAATGGTGTTCGATCCGAGCCGCTAGGGGGGCATGACATCCCACTGCATGGAAGATTGAAGGAGAAACAATTTCGTGGGTGGCAAAGAAGTTTGCCACACCCACCCTGCTCTAGGAAAATTCAAACAAGGGTTGCCAAAAACACTCTTCAGTGGAGGTGGTGACCACGTGAAAAACCCCAAGGCCACGAAAGTTGGTGTAACTTGCCTAGCTCGGTCGTGTAAGTTTTCGCCAAAGTCGCCACCGAGTTTTGTGGGGGGCAAGTTCAATCAAGCTCGACAAGGAGTTTCCGGAACAATGCTTATAAGGAACAAGTCTGCCATGAGTGGTGGGCAGGGGGGCAAATCCACTGTCCCGAAAACTCCAATCTCACATGAAAATTCAAAAGATCATGGCACTTACATACGTGTTGGTGGAGATCGCAAGCGTTACTACCAACAATATGGTGAGGGTGTGCAACTTACAAAACAAAACCGGCCTGAGCAAGCGAGGCCGCATGGTCGACTTGGCAAGACAAAGATGCCAAAAAACATGAAAGTCTTGCCGAGAGCGAAAAATACCGATGATTTTTCATGTCACCAACCAAAACTTATGGTTGAGGTAAAGCCAAGTCAAGCTTGTAGGATCTAAAACAAGGATGTTCGAGATAGACGAGCTAAAAAGTTTCAATCCAACACCGACTTGAAAACTTCCCAATCGTGTGTAAAGCCAGTTGTGAAGAGTCATTGCGTTCACGGATGGCTTGTTTGGTTTAATCCGTGGAGTTGGCAATGGGTCTGGACCTTTGGCGTGATGGTTTATGCCAAAGTCTAGCTTTTTTTTATTTAGCTATTAAAAAATAATGTGGCTAAATTAAGCCACGTAATATGTTATAGAAAAAAAAATTAATATAATCAAGCGGCATTGTTAAGAAGAAGCCACCATGTCGTCGGCAATGGTTCAAGATGATTAGCAGTGTTGTTTTCTCTTTTCTCAACAATGTTAGAGGAATGCACAATAGTGTGAAACAAAAGAGTTTTTTTTTTATCTGAATAAAAGATGGCGCAAGACAACACCGTCGAGAGAGAAAAATTGAGTTGATTGGCCAAGCGGTTTCAACGAGAGGAAAACCGCATTGTTTAAAAAAACAATATTGTTTTATCATCAACAGTGTTGCAGATGGCCGTAACAAGCCTGGGGAGGAATGGCAATGCCAAGCTGGTTGATTTAATAAATATAAATAAAAAAAGGTCAAAATATGGTCGCTTTGCTCAAATTCTATAGCTTGATTCTCAAGGCATAACCTTCTTTTTCCTTTGGCTTAATTTGCACATGAATAATTTAGTTATTCACACTACAGGTGAATAGCTGAAATAATCGGTTGGCTCTAAATATTCATATTAGTGGATCTTATGTACTATGCCGCCAAAATACTAACTTATTCACTGCAAAGCTGAGCCCACCCACTGCATTACTACCGAATTATTCTTATATAAAAGTCATAATTTAGAGTTTATTATTCATTAAAAAATTTGAAGGACATTCTTCAGAAGAAACAATGACACCCTTTTATTAGTCTTTGTTTCTTTTTCTTTACCTTTTTTATTCATTTTCTCCCTATTAATCTCTCCACCATTCCTTTTATATTTTCATTTATTGTACCGAAACCGACTTTTTTGTTCATATTTGATTTTGTATCTACTCATGTCTTTCGCTCGAGACCAACTTCCATATTTGGGGATGAGATAGCATGCCTACCCTTAAGGTTGGAAAAATGACACGCCCTATTAATTATAGGTTTTTAAGGTAATTAATTTGTGTTGCATTTAATAATCTGTATGAATTAAAAACACATATTAATTACTTTCTTTTTTCCAGTGCACTGGTAGTTGTAATAGTGCAATGTTATTAGTGTACAGGTGCAATGGTAGATGTATCAGTGCAACGATAGTTCCAAAAAAGGAACGTAATTAATATGAGTTCAATATACAGGTGCAATGGTAGTTTGTATAAGTGCAATGGTAGTTAAAAAAATGAATTTAATTAAGATGAGTTTTTAATTTCCAAAGATTATTAAATGCAACACGAATTTAATACTAAAAATAACTAATGGATCGTCTGGACGAAGTAATTGGGAAATGAAGCAATTTGATCCAATTGACTCATTTTAAGAGATGAGTCATCTGTATGAGGCAATTGTGTGAAATTGTATTGTTTGGTTAGTATTTAGGATGAGTCAATTAAAATGGAACATTTTGCCATAAATACACTTTTACCCTCCCTCTTTTACCCTCCCTCCTCTCATTGTAAACCATCAATACAGAGTGTACAAAGGAAGGGGGCGGCTGGGCATCACAAATGTAAAACCCAATCCATCAAAAGATAAAACAGCAAAGTAAATTGCAAGAATAAAAGACAATAGCAGTTCTTGGTAGAGCTGCAAACCAAAAGAAACAATTGCAAGAGCTCTAAGAGTGAAATAGAGGTCCAATTGTTGCTACTGTGGCCTCTGTTTCTATTTTGGGAATAAAGGATTGATGTCCAGGAGGAAGAATACTAAATCTGAAATAGAATTGAAAATTTGATGAGAAGGCTGCACATTAAGTTTCCCCTTAATCAAACAAAACCCCATTATAGTAGAGCGTCCAAATGTGAATAGAAGTTTGACTTAATTAAAAACCCACAAACAAGGTAAGAAGAAGACGATGTTTTCTCGCTGCAGAGAAAGAAGGAGAGAACGGGAAAAAATTGAATCGTCGCCGGAAGTCAGACCCGTCACGAGGAGTGATTGATAACGCTAGGGAGCTCCACTTCAGAAGCCCAGAAAGCCAGCTCAATGGCGTTGGAGAAACGCCCCTTTCCTCCTCTTTGCCGGCGATTGAGTCATCTTTTCACGACGGACATCGAGCTTGGAGACTCACTTGGGATGATGCATGAAGATTCTTGTTAAGAAGAGAAGACTAGCGATTTGTGAAGCGCCGTTGCAGATCCCGATCCCCGTATTTGGTTATCCATTTTACTTATCCTTCTCGCTCGAGGTCTAATCGAAAGTTGACGGCAAAATCTCTCTTTCATTCAAAAAGTAGACAAGTGGCATCGGAATCGATGAAATTGCATCGAGACTGACTTTCCGATTTGGCTATGCAATTTTAGTCATCTCTGTCACTCGAGGTTGAATAGAAAGTTAACAATGAAATCTCTCACTGTCAATCAGAAATTCAAAAGTGGGATCTGAACTAATGAAATCGCTTGAGACTGACTTTCCTATTTGGTTATGCATTGTTACTCATCTCTCTCACTTGACGTCGACTAGAAAGTTAATGATGAAATCTCACACAATCAAAAAGTACAAAGTGGCATTGGAACCAATGAAATCGCTCGAGTCCGACTTTCTTATTTGGTTATGCATTTTTACTCAAATTTCTCGCTCGAGGTTGAATAGGAAGTTAATCTCTCACTCATAATTAATCAAAAAGTATGAAAGTGGTATTGGAACCAATGAAACCAAATACTTAGGTTCTTCCTTCTTTTTCTTTGGTTTTGTGGATTTTTTTCATATTCTCTATTTCTCTTCTATTTTTCATCTTTGTTAAAAATCCAGGGTAAATTTCTTAGCTTCTCTTTTTGTTTGTTGTACTTAATAGGAGAAATTTTACAATGGTATATAGTATTGGTGCTATAGGTTTTTGCCTTTATGGTACAACTTAAAATTGTACATTTACATTATGGTACAACTTCAGATTGTACCTATACTTTTTGTGCAAATTCTTTTACGGTACAACTTGAACTTGTACCTTTATGTGATGGTACAACTTCAAGTTGTAAAGTTGTACCATAACATAATGGTACAAATTGTTTTATAGTACAACCTAAACTTATACATTTAAGTTATGGTACAACTTTGAGTTGTACATTAAAGCACCAATACTATATAGCATAGTAGAAGTGCTCACTTAATAGACACACAGTCAGTTACATTTTTGTCTTTTTCATTCGTAACTTTTTTAATTAATAGTCGTTTCAAATTAATAGGTTTTTCTTACTCATTATTTTATATATCTATAGCCTCATTAGCCAGAGAGTATAAATTGCTACGGTATTATGACTTTTCTTACTACTTTCATAATTATGTTTTATGAGTTATATTTTATTAAATATTTGATACTACTGTTATTTTTCCGCTTGCCGCAAATCGCAAGCGACGGACTATCCATGAATATAATTAATTAAAGCTATAAAGTGTTTACTGTTCCATAAGGGTTCTTCTAACCTGCACTGCTGTGATTTGTTTTGGTCACCATCATTCATTATTCACATGTGTATGGCCCGAGTTTCAGACTTCCCCTTCTCTTTTTTCTCTATAACCAACTACCAGTCTACCACCTCTTTCATTTTTTCTCTATTTGTTTACTAGCTAGGATCAATTTTAAGTTAAAAGCATGAAGGGTTGAGATCAAAGTTGTCAAATTGATTTATATCATTATGTCGGTTTAGCAAGTCAAATGGTTCTACCGGTGGTACAAATAATTTAGCTAGTTTGACCCCAAAAATTATGTCATTTAGAAAAATATAGAAATGTGAAAAATCGTTAACACCAAATGAATTTAATCATATATAAAATATATTTAAAGAAAATTTACTTACAATCCATATCATATTAAATAAACTATGGCATTTCAATTAAAATAACAAATACTCTCATTTAAATACAACATGTAACGTCAATGCCTAAATATTTATGCTCAAATCCAACAAATAACATAAATAATTAATTTTAAAATACATAAAATTAATTTTGAATTATAAATTAAATTCACTAAAACCACATTATTTTGCCTAGAAGTCATAAATCAATCATACCGGTCATGCTGGCGATTTTCGTGCCGATCATGACCTTTCCAGCTTATTCATGACCTAGACAAGTTGAACTAGATCCAACTGGCCGACATTCCATCAAGTGACAACTATGATTGAGATTTGTTGGATTTGCTTCAGATAAACGTTTTAATCTACTACTGGGATTGGTATAGATAGCGTAAAGTAGGATTTTCCACTACATTTATAACTTATATTAAATTTCATCTAACATATGAGTAATAGCATATAACATTACACCTATATGACATCGTACTTGAATCTGTTTCCTATTTCCCATCCATTTTTTCTGTATAACCAACTACCACATCTTTCTTCATTTGTTTACTAGCTAGGTTCATATTTAAGTTAAAAGCATGTACTACTCTCATATTGAAGGGTTGAGATCAAAGTTATCAAATTGATTTATACCATTGGCTTGGTTTAGCAAGTAGAATGGTTCTATTCGGTTGTACAACTAATTTGTGCCAGTTTGACCAAAAGAAATTATGGCAGTTAGGAAAAATGTAAAAATGTAAAAAATCATTAACACCAAATAAATTTAATCATATATAAAACATATTTAAAGAAAATTTACTTACAATCCATATCATATTTAAATAAACTACGACATTCCAATTAAAATAACAAAGACTCCCATATAAATAGAACATGTAACGTCAATATCTAACATTTATACTCAAATCCAACAAATAACATAAATAATTAACAATAAATTCATAAAATTAACTTTAATTATAAATTAAATTCATTAAAACCACATTATTTTGCTGAAAGATCATAAATCATTTATACCGGTCATACTGGCAATTTTCGTGCTGATCATGACTATTCAAGCAGATTCATGACCCGGACAAGCTGAACGAGGTCCACCTGGCCGACATTCTACCAATGTCACAACTATGATTGAGATTTGTTGGATTTGCTTCAGACAAATGTTTTAACCTACTATTGAGATTGGTATAAATAGCGTAAAGTAGGATTTTCCACTAAATGAAAAAATTCATTATATTGTTCATGCATTTATAAATTATATTAAATTTCATCTAACATATGACTAATAACATATAACATTACACCTATATGACACCGTACTTGGATCCAATATATAGTGAAAATTTACACGCTTATATAATATCAATATTCAAAATGTTATTACTAAAAAAATCATTCAAATTTTCAACTTACAATTCCAAAAATAGGGTTACGTTGATTTTTTTCTTTTTGATCTTCTGTTTAATTATTTTTTCTCAATATCAAGCTCCAACTTACGATCAAATCAAAATACCTTATCCCATTAATTTAGAGTCCAAAAAACCGGCTGATTGAATTATATCAAGCTCCATACAAAGTCGACGAGAGGAGAAATCTCATTATGAAAGAAAAATTGGTACCTAGGGGAGAGAAACCAAGGTATATGGTGGAGACGATTTTTCATAACTCCTTGGATTTTGACCCAATAGGAGCAAGGATCTTCGGTGGAAGCCAGTCGTTGAGGAGATTTAGTGGGTTGGATAAGGAACTTTTCAAGCGTATTAGTTCCAAGGCATCTCTCGCTGTTTCCGCCACTCCGCCAGTGACAGAGGGTGGTGGAGGTGGGTAGGGAGAGGGATAGCAAAGTGGATTTATGGGGGATGTATTTTGTGAGTTTTTGTTTAGTTTGGTCGACGTAGAATCACTCGATGATCAGGTCGCCATACGACGAATATGAGAGGAGATAAGAGAAGAGGGTGTCACACCCTTTTTTATTGTGCCTGCACAGGTGCCTTCTTCATATATTCCCTTTCAATTAGAGAGATATGCAACCTGTCACAAATTTTCATGAAGATACTTTCGACTTCAAATATGAGCTTACCATGCGTTTGATGTTTTGCCTCATTGAAAACAACATTGATGATGGTGACTGGTCCTGATGCAGAGGTGCCAAGGCATTGAACGTTGGAATCTGTTTACAGAGTAAAGTTAAGGTGTCGTATTTGAGGTCAAACTTTTGATCTTTATATCTATTTTATAGGACCCAAGAATGAATATTTGAGTTAGGGTTGAAAATTTGCCTGTCCCGTCCCTGTTCCTGTCTGTCCCGTCCCTAAAGGGTCAGCTTGCATAATCGACCCGTCTCGTCCCGTCCCTGTTCTCTTCTTGACCCTGTCTGACCCTTTAGGGTCGGGACGGATCGGGACGGGCCGGGTCAGCGGGTCGACCCTCTCCAACACAAAATTAAATACCAAATTATAAAAAACAGAAAATTAACTAATTAATTCATAAAATAATTTATTTCAGAAATTATTTCAGAAAATTAATCAATTACGAAATTAATTTCAAAAAATAATTTTTATTTACGAATTTCTGTTCATAAAATTATCTATTCATCAAATTAATTCCAAAAAAATTAATTAATCACCAAAATAATTCCAAAAAATTAATCAATCACCAAAATAATTCAAAAATATTAATCACTTGTCAAAATAATTCCAGAAAATTATTTATTTACTCAATTTATTCCAGAAAATCATTTATTTATCAAATTAATTCCAGAAAATTAATTAATAAATAATTTATTTATGAAATTATTTCATAAAATTAATCAATTACGAAATTAATTTCAAAAAATCATTTTATTTACGAATTTCTGTTCATAAAATTATCTATTCATCAAATTAATTCCCAAAAAATTAATTAATCAGCAAAATAATTCCAAAACTTTAATCAATCATCACATAATTCCAAAATATTAATCAATTGTCAAAATAATTCCAGAAAATTATTTATTTACCCAATTAATTCCAGAAAATTAATCAATTGCCAAAATAATTTCAGAAAATTATTTATTTACCCAATTAATTCCAGAAAATTATTTATTTACCAAATTATTTACCAAACTCCCATAATATATGTGGTTGATGAAAGGATGAAATGACATCAATTGTTAGATAATCATCAATGACATCATTGTTCGATAATAATCAAGTACATCATTGTTCGATAATAATCAAGTACATCATACTCATGATCACACAATACATCATTGTTAGATAATCATCAATGACATCATATCATGATTACACAATACATCATTCTTCAATCATCATCAACTAAATCACTCATGATAGTGCAATCATCCAAGCAAGACTCTTTCAACTCTGCAAAATTAACAACACATCAAATAAATTAATAATGATCTAAATAAAATAGTGAATGTTAAAAACAAATTACTTTTCATACCTTGTTCAAGTTCTTCGATTTCTTCAAAATTCTCTTCCATGTCGATTGGAAGAGTACTCGATCGAAGCCAATTTTGACCACAAATTAAACTTTCAACAACCAAGGGAGTCAAAGAACTCCGAATTGCATCTAAAACGCGCCCCCCGGTACTGAAAGCAGACTCAGATGCAACAGTGGATACTGGAATCTCCAACACATCTCTAGCCATCAAGCTCAGTATTGGATACTCACTAGAATGCTTCTTCCACCATGCTAAAATGTTAAAAGTTATGTCCTCATCATCCTCAAGATTCGCCTTTAAGTACCTCTCAAGCTCCGAAAGTGTAGTTTCTCCCACCCTATCTTCCATTCTCTTTCTCCTGAATTTTTTCTTCAAATAATCTTCCACACTTTGAGATTCATCATTCTCATTTGGTGTTGCACTCCCCACACTTCTTGATGAGCTTTCACAAGTAACCCCTCTCATTTCCGAATAGTCATTAAACATATCCTCCAAAAATCCCTTCACACTCTCAAACAACTCATCTTTAGTCCAAATTCCCCCATGTTCTATCCCATAAACCTCATCAAGTGCAAAACAAACATACTCCAACTTGTACCTCGGGTCAAGAACCACAGCAATAAACACCAAAGGGTTGATGTTATCAAAGGAGCCCCAATACTTATCATGCTTAGCTTTCATTCTTCTTGCCATGGATTTATGACTCTCGATTTTTGATGAAGTTTCCTTTGTAAGCTTACAAGCAATTCCATATATGATATGAAAGAGATCATTACTTGTGACATACAAAGAACCCGAAACTTTTAGTGTAGCATCATAGAAAATCTTCAGAAAAGGAACTAGAGACTCCACATAATGCCAATCCAAGTCATTTGGTGTCCCTTTCAATTTCTCTAGCTCAACTTTATACTTATCATCTTCTTCCTCTAACCTCTCAAATGCCCTTTTAAATACCAAAGTGGACTCCAACATCAAGAAAGTGGAATTCCATCTAGTCTCCAAATCTAAACACACTAGTTTCTTGGTCTCCAACTTCTCCTCATGGGCACAACTCTTAAATCTCTGCATTCGGGAGTTTGATGACCTCACATATCTCACAGCGGACCGAATACGATGGATTGAATCATCAACATCTTTCAATCCATCTTTCACAGTCAAGCTCAATATGTGAGCACAACATCTCATGTGAAGATGTATTCCCTTCAACACACTCCCCTTCCAATTGTTAATCCTCTTCTTCAAATATGTCATGCCCACATCATTCGAACTTGCATTATCGACTGTCACGGTTAGAACCCTATCAATTCCCCAATTAAGCATGTGTTTTTCAACCGTTTTTCCAATCGTGAGACCCGTGTGATTAGGAATAGGAGAGAAGTTGATAATTCTTTTATGCATTTTCCATTCATTATCAATGAAATGAGCAGTTAGACTCATGTAGTCCAAATGATGTCTACTTGCCCATATATCGGTTGTGAGGCAAACTTTAATTTGTGACTGCTTGAAGTAATTTTTCAACTTCTCCTTCTCAGCCAAAAACAACTTAAAACAGTCTTTGGCTATGGTGATCCTAGAAGGGATGTGAAACTCAGGTCTTAGCGAATGGACAAAGTCACGGAAGCTTTCATGCTCAACTTGCCTAAAAGGTGACTCGTCAATAATGATCATTCTAGCAAGTTTCATCCTTGAGACAACTGGATCATATGTGTGAGGTGTAAAAGTAGGAGAAGCACTACTAGTACCCTGAGCTGTAGTATTGGTACCTTGAGCGCTAGGAGTTCCAGATTTCTTCTGATTATGATTACTATAAGGATATTTTTTGCATCTTTGCAAATGCCTTTTCAAACCACTTGTTCCAAAAGTAGATGGACATTTTAACTTTGTTGAACAATATTTGCAAACAGCTTTTCTAGATTCCTTATCCGACCAATTTTGTCTATTATAATGCTCCATACAGCTGAAGTTCCGAATGTACCTTCTTCATTTTCATCAACTAACGGAAGATTTCCTTGAGAAGGTGCATTGGTGGAGACCTCCATGGGATTACTACTAGCTTCATCCATATCCTGCCATTTTAATGAATCAAATAATTAATACCAAGTGAAGATTTCCAATAACATAAGGAAACCAAGCATCATAAACTAAAAGATTGAAAAAGCAAGTTCAAGCCAAATATGCCAAAAAATAGGGGAAGAAATTGAATGGCAAAGCACACTTTTTCCTTCTCTTCTGATCTCTTTATTCTCTAGGTTTATCATGAGAGTTTGATAGTCAGTAATAACTATCAAGTAAGGATCTTTCTTCCCAATCAGTGGGAAGTGGAGCATAGTTTAGATCTGATTTGCAGGAGTTGACCTCTTTCTTTCTACTTACTTTCTGGGTTTCATCTGGTGTAGAATGTTTCCAGGAAGGAAACACCTGGGAAGGTTTGAAGCAACTTCATTGGTTGCATCAGGGTCCTACATGTCTTTAACCATTATTAAAGGGACAAACTCAAACTTTGACCAAATTGAAAGATACTGCTGACTAATAATGACAGCTCCAAGCAACTTAGTTCTGACCCTTTGTGCTTTACTCACATTGCCAGAATGATGCTTGCATTTCGTGGCTGCTTTTTCAAACATAAGATCAAGAAACAGACCAAATACATACAGCTGATTGCTTTCCCACTAGTGTAGTGTTACTATTACAACCGGCTTTTCAATTACTACAATTGGCTTAACAGTTGATTGCTTTCCCACAAACTTGAGACCCAATACATCCAACAAATTGTCTTCATTTTGAATGGATACAGACAGATAGACAGACAAGATTCAGATTACATATGTACAGAATATTACAACAAAAACAGAATGACTTCAAAAACTCCCCCTCTTCTTCTGGCCTTCCCACCAGCCACCATTGTTGACATAAACATTCTTGCCACCTTCAAACCCAACCTTTCTACCCTAACTAACAAGGCAACAACATCCACTAAGGACTACTGTGTTTTCCCCTCTACTCAAATAACACTATCATACTTAATCAGCCTTGAACCCAACTAAATCAATACCACACATATTCCCTCTAAACTCCAAAGCAACACCACAGCAGCAACACCATTAGCTATCAGATCTTACAGAAATGGGCAAACAAGCAATACCCACAACCCAAATTGACCATAGCTGACGACCAGCTATGGAGAAGAGAGCCAATTCATCTCAAATATGGAAACATTGCAGTTAATTGGTTAATTCTGTTTAAGTACGAATCAAGCCACAAGAACAAAACTTGAACATGAAACTTCAACGAACTTGAAGCAAGGATTTAATAGAAGCTGAAATTGCTTTCAATTCTATGACCAAACCCAGACCACATACATATATGGGTAACCAAAATACCAAACTCAGACCACACATATATGAGAAAATCCACAAAAATCAAAGCAGTAAGAGTAGCCAGAGACCACCAATCTTTGGGCTGAAACAGAGACAATGAAAGAAGGAAACCGAAGAAACATACCTATAATTGATGCAGATTTTCGACCAACAACTTCTTCTCCAAGGTCCTGGTGGCGACGAGGTATCGTGAAGGGATTCTCCAACCGCGCCGCCGACGAGGAAGCACGACGATTGGGCTGGACGCCCGGATGGAAGTCGCCGAGAATCGGTGGAGATTTTAGGCTGTAGGTTTCCCATTCAGTCAATGAGAAGAATGGAGAAGAGGTATCGTGAAGCGGTGAAGGGATTCTCCAACGGCGCCGCCGACGAGGAAGCGCGACGATTGGGCTGGACGCCCGGATGGAAGTCGTCGAGAATCGATTGAGATTTTAGGGTGTATGTTTTCTTTCAGTCGATGAGAATTGAGAAGTGAGAATCGAGGCGAGAAGAATGAAGAAGGAGAAGACCGTCCCGAACTTGTCCCACTATTCTTTAATTTCTACGGGTCTGTTTTCCGGGTCACAGGGTCAGGTGGGTTTTTTAGGGTCTGAGTGTAGTTTGACCCGTCCCTTATAGGGTCAAGAGGAAGACCCATCCCGAACTTGTCCCTCTATGCAAATTGACCCGGCCCGACCCTTCGGGACGGGACGGGTCGCTAGGTTTTAAGGGTTAGAATTTCAGCCCTAATTTGATTGAGGAGGATTGATGTGAGGGAGAGATTAACTAGGATATTTTCTATTTTACTCGAGAATTGCAGGGTATCTTTCAGTATGTACACCATTTTAGTTAGTGACAGTAAGGGAAAATGCTAGACATGTCTACTCTGGTCCCTATTTGTCTTCGAGGGCCATCCAGTAAATAAACAATGGGGACGATAATGTTTGTATGGTTTTTTATGAGCGGGATTTATCATGAGTTTAATTATTTGACTGCATTTCATGTTGGATTTCTTAATGACAATGTGGATATAAATTGTGAGCAAGAGTTTTGGTATCCATTATAATCCTTCCAAAAAAATGTGTACCGGAAGGGAAATGCATCGAGAGAGTCTCCTTCTTAATCCATCTAGCCTGAGCACCTTGACACAAAGGAGAGAATCCTTATGATATTTTCATTCTAATATAAATAGAATCGGAATAATCAGGTTAAACTTATTAACGGGCTTGCAAAACAGAGGCCACACCACAACCAACGCCGATGCGAAGCACGGCCACAATCTCCCTAGTATATATATTACAAGGAAACAATAGAGTCTGGATGTTTATCTATTCTGAATTCAACTTGCTTTGTAATTGTGCTCCGTTCATTTTCCAACCCAACTTCCCCACAACACAAATATAGGAAAAGGTAAAATGAACAGCAGATAAGATAGAGATGTGAGGTTATCAGTTATGTTCCATTATTATCCTTCCCCACAAAAGGCTTCATCTGCAGAAGTTATTTGAAATTGAAACCAAATAAGTATTAGATTCATCACTTTGCTTTGTCTACCGAGGATTCTTCTTCTGCCATGTCTTCCAAGCTTGGTATAAGTCCAACTGTCGATGGTCAAATTTGCCTGCTTGATCTCCATGAGACATATAGCATATGCATTTGTAACCTTTGGCCCTTCATGACTTAATGCCTATGTTTGACCCGGCTTTTAGAAGTGCTTTTTGGCTTCAAAAGCTGAAGTAAGGCCAAACACCTCTAAAAGCTCGGCTTTTGAAAAGTCGAAAAGCGAATTTGTATAACATAGCGGAAGTTCCGATTTGGAGCTTCTGCGAAAAGCTGTTTTGAAAATACAAGATTATCCTTACCACATTTTAATTTTATTTCAGAAAAATATAATTTTCCTTCATTTATATCATTTTAAAAATAAAATAAATTATAAAATCATATTATGTAATATAAAAGAAATCTAACAAGATCCATTTTTACTACTTTTTATTGTTTAGAATTTTTATTCATATTTTATATTATAAGTCCTTTATAGTCATTTTACACAACCGCTCATATTAAAAATCACTTCTAATAGTTGTACCGCCAAACACTAAACAACTTTTTTTGAAAAGTACTTATCTAAAAGCTCACGTCATAAACTGCTTCTACAAAAGCTACAGCAGAGTCAAACTAAGCTAATATTTCATAATACAGTAATTAGGTTTGCTGCCACAACCTAGGCGGTAGTACTTCCCTACTACTACACACATTACAGGTAAGCACATGCACTTTTAACAGAATTCGGATAAGGGATCTGTCATTCTTTTCGGTCATGACGGTATATGAGCAAACCCAATCCAGTCCCATTTTGAGAACTTTTGCCGTCAGACTTAAGTAAAGCGCAAAGAAAATCAAACCAGAGGATTAGTCATAGATAGACATTAGTTACTTTAACCCTTTTGTGGAACATGTTGTTTGGCCCTAAGTGTAAAAGCTCCCTTGTCATCACTGACCTCTTTTGACACCACATAACCTAACTAAGGTCGAATTCTGAAATCCCCCCAACTCGTTACCAATTTGATTTGACTGTAAAGTAGATGGTGCCTAGTGGGTAAAGCAAAAGTTGAAAGTAACCCATGTAATAATAGTCTTTTGACATCTATTTAAGACTCATCATTCCATAGTTGCTGGTATCAGTGAGTGAATGTGCAGTTTACACACACATAGTTCCATTTTAGCTCTGAGTAAGAGGGTGCAATTGTCCAGGATAGATTTTGAAGCATAGTTCGCCATGAAGTTCCTGAACACACAAAGCATGAGAAGAATCCCGTTGTTGAGGCAGGGGAAGAGATCAATTCCCAACCCCACATCAGCAGCTGCAATGACATCCATTGTTGATAGGAAGACAAAGGCTCCATTGGGTAGCCGCAGGAGTACTATTAGTAGGTCTTATGTCCCTACGCGATTGGTTTACAAGCTGAGGGCACAGTGGAAGCGAGCAATCGGGTGGCCGCAGAAGAGCAGCAACAGCAGCAGTTCGCAGTTCAGTTATGACATCCGTAGCTACGCTCTCAACTTTGATGAGGGTGGTTGCCTTGATCAGGTCCTTAGAAGTCACGTTATTTCTAGATGACAAGCTTGGAGCTTTGATCTCAATTCTTCTTCCTTTTTCTTTAGCAATAAGACAGAGTTCATACTCTTGGTAATCAGATCATTTCTGTAGTATGTTAAGGGTATGTGTTTAGCAGCAGCTCCTGCTGAGCATAGCCACTAGCAAACCTGTGAAAGTTTGTTCTCTTCCATGGCTGTTCCATTATGTACAGTTACTGTAGTGGCTCCTTTTCGTATGGGACAACACATTTCCTCCTATGAACGCATTGTTTTATAGATGAATGCATTATGTTGAGTTGTGAACTTTTGATTATAATGAAAACAGAAAAGGCTATTTTTGTTGAAGAACAAACCACATTTATCGGTAGATAACGAAATAGACAAAAAATAAAAGAATGGAGAATAACGAATCGTGCAGTGAAAATATGAGTTTTTAACAATTAGTAATTCAATTCATTTTGTTCATTAAAAATTTTACTAATTCGTTCAATTTAAATTCAAATTCAAATACCTATATATTTTATATTTTATAATTCGATACATTAATTTTGATTTTTTTTATGAAAAGTACTTTAAAAATAATATTTCGTACTTAATTTTTATATTGTCACTTTAATATCTAAACGTTTCGAAATTTTTATAATGAATCAAAAGGCATCCGGACAAATAAATTCAAGAATTCATTTAATCCAATCCATAAATCTACAAATTTATGAATTCAATACACTTATCACCTCTGACAAACCGTTCAGACAACGAAAAACAATAGCAATCATCTACATCTCGTCTCTCTAAACCTCTTTCTCTCAATCTCTCTTTCTCTCACTACGGAGGAGACTGCCATAGAGGGTTCTTAGGTGGAGATTGGTGGTGGTGGACAAAAACAGAGTGGCGGCCAATTGGTAGAAATTAGGATTTATATTTTAATGAATATGTAATGAAGTGGAAATTTGATAGATTAATTTTTATTTATTTATTTTTTAATAGCCACATTACTAATTTAACGGTCAGCCATGAAAGTTGACCGCCACATCAGCAAAAGTTAACAGAGACTAACGGAGAGTGATCAAACTTGAACAATTGAACTAATCTTAGTGACCACGATTGGAATTAAATATTTGTAGTAATCATACATGAACGTTTTTAGGAAACCCAGTGACCAACCTTGCAATTAACCCAGTGAAAATATATACAACCACAAAATTTTAAATTAGTAGCTGTTTCGATAGCCTGTAATAGTGTTTAATAATATTTTATAGTTATTTAAGGGTTTTCCGATACTTGTGCAAATTCTTCAGTTTTGCTCCTATGATATGCAAACACGCTCTGATGAACTTCAAATCGATCCATGCTCGATTGTGGATGAGTAAAAGACCTTAAATATCACCACAAACACCAAGCAAGTATAAAATATGGAAAAGGGGGGTGGACTCCCCATGAAAACATTTATAGCAATCTAATTTATGCTAAAACTAATGAATGACGAATAGGATCATATATTAGTATAAACTACTTTTCAATGTTGCCTAGACAAAGTGATTTAGCACACAAACATCACCAATAAAAAATTCCCCCACACTTAAACATTTGGTTGTGCCCAATAAAAAATTTATCAAACCAAGCAACTCGAGGCATTTAAATCCCCTCACATTAGGCACGAATCGTCGAATGTGGGACACAAGACTAGGGGTATCTCGACCATCCATAATGGAATTCAACCTACTCGAAACATCCTCGAAAGAATCTCATCAAGTGAAAGAGGGTAGGCTCAAGGCATAAATAAAGGCTCCCAATAGTAGGTAAGAATGACAAACACTCTATACAGTTTTATTCGCCACTTTCCTTACAACTATTTTTTTTCTTTTTCTTTTGGGTTGTAGCATCTTGAAAGTGTTTTTTCTGTCTCGAACAAGGCAAGTAGGAGAGTCACTTTTTGAGCTCTTTCCACCTACCTATACCACAACCCGTGTGGAGGGGCCACAACATGGATGATCTACCTTTGAACAGTAGAGATCTGAAACTAAGTAGGGTCCCCATGCAAATCACCCTCTAATTGGCAAGCGATTGGGAGTATTCAATATTGTGCTGCTACTACTACTACTACAGATCTTTGAAAACATGCGATCGCTGCCTGACACGTAGACCTTTGAAGAATAAGCTATAATCCACTTTATTTTGTTTAAAATCTGGTTGCGAGAAAGCACAAAACCGAGCATTATCCAACCTTTATGACGATGTTGACTAAGACTCAAGCTTTACACTGTTAACGAAATGACGATGTTGAGCATTATCCAGCAGATGAACGATGTTACCAAAATGACGATGTCGAGTTGGTTATGGGAGAGTTGGGTGAGTGGGGTCGATCCTTGACAAAAACATCCATGAAGAACTAGAACAAAAGAACACACACCCACAAGCATTACATAATATAATATATGTACAAATTATTAAGTTAGTATTTTAATTAAGTTACTTACACATAGCAAATGAAATGAAAAGAAAAGGGATAGAAAAAGGCCCTTGCAAAGACGAGAAATTAGCCTTTGGACCTGGTCTCTCGAACTTCTAGGTGTCACTCGTTGTTGATATTGTATTTTTGTTCTTTCTCGTGGTGTACTGGCAGTTGAGGCTCGACTGGTTGTGTAGTGGTTCGGGCTCTCCGTTGATATTCGTGGGTCGAAGTCGTTGCCACTTCTAGAGGAGGAGAACTGGATCTCTCCCCTCGTAATAGGAGCCATTACTAAAGGAAAGAAACAACCTAAACAACTAAGGTAAGGGTATGGATTGATTGCTCAAAAACCATAACAAAGCGGTAATGTTAGGTGAGAAGATGAGCCATACACCCTATGCCAATCAACCAAAATTCGAACAAAATGCTTCTAGCGGCCTAACATAAGCATTCAAGAGTTTAATTGTCATTTATCGAACTATAAAAAACAAAGTTCAAGTGGTTTGGGCATTTTATCGAGCACTTAGTGGGTGATCCCTCCAAGCATTAAATGCTTATGTTAGGCCAAAAATGACGATGTTGAGCATTATCCAACATATGAACGATGTTACCAAAATGACGATGTCGAGTTGGTTATGGGAGAGTTGGGTGAGTGGGGTCGATCCTTGACAAAAACATCCATGAAGAACTAGAACAAAAGGACACACACCCACAAGCATTACATAATATAATATATGTACAAATTATTAAGTTAGTATTTTAATTAAGTTACTTACACATAGCAAATGAAATGAAAAGAAAAGGGATAGAAAAAGGCCCTTGCAAAGACGAGAAATTATCCTTTGGACCTGGTCTCTCGAACTTCTAGGTGTCACTCGTTGTTGATATTGTATTTTTGTTCTTTCTCGTGGTGTACTGGCAGTTGAGGCTCGACTGGTTGTGTAGTGGTTCGGGCTCTCCGTTGATATTCGTGGGTCGGAGTCGTTGCCACTTATAGAGGAGGAGAACTGGATTTCTCCCCTCGTAATAGGAGCCATTACTAAAGGAAAGAAACAACCTAAACAACTAAGGTAAGGGTATGGACTGATTGCTCAAAAACCATAACAAAGCGGTAATGTTAGGTGAGAAGATGAGCCATACACCCTATGCCAATCAACCAAAATTCGAACAAAATGCTTCTAGCGGCCTAACATAAGCATTCAAGAGTTTAATTGTCATTTATCGAATTATAAAAAACAAAGTTCAAGTGGTTTGGGCATTTTATCGAGCACTTAGTGGGTGAACCCTCCAAGCATTAAAATTCACACAATCAATACCCACCAAGGCGTCCAAACCACATACATTCATTCATCAACATTCGCTTCCTTCTTCATCCACCATAACCTCGTTGTTGCTCCCTTCTTCTTGTTGAATAGGGGTAACATTGCAGTTACTAGCAAGATCTTCTCTAGGTAGTCAATCATGCTCTTCTTGCTCTTCCACCACTTCGAGTTTTTCTTCCTCCGCTTTATATCTACATTTGCATAAAAGCATCCCAGAGGAAGATTAGGGTCAGTAGTGTCAATGCACTTGTACCCTATGTTGAAGCGCTCCATAGCCAATTCCAGCAAGGATTTGATCTTCGATGGTGGTGTGGGATGAAGCACTCCTTCATCCTTGGAGGTTGAGCTCTCCTTATCCTTCCTTATACGAGAATCGCTAGATTCACCAACTTCCTGTAGAACATGTTCTTGAGCAAGGCTAGCACACAATAGTCGAGTAGTTTCTCTTCGTCAATGTAACTCCTCGAACTCCCGTAGAAACTTTGGAGGAGGTGGATTTGTGCAGGTCTCCGATGTGCTCTTTCACTCTTCATTAAGAAGTCCGCCAATTTGAACTCCAAGCTCACTTTATGCACCAAGAGTAATGGTGGATTCCCCTTGTGGTATGAATGGCTTTCTACTCAGTCTGGAGAATAAAATTGATACCCTTAAGGGTATGGTTGTTGACCATAGAAAGAGGTTGGCTCTGATACCCAATTCTACGGCCTACCGTAGACCATACAATTGACTAAGACCCTCTAGTTACCTCTTCTCTCATTAACAAAACATTAAGCACCTTTGCTCGAACTTTGTTCAAACAAGTGTGAATCATGTAATTGTCTTTCAATTCTATTTTCACAGAAGTTTTCTCTATTTACTCTTAGATTGATAAGACCCTTCCATTCACTCTGCCTCCTTATCCAATTAAATTGAGAGGACACTTAATGTGTAGATCAAGATTATGGACCTGATCTACAATCATTCAATCACGTTAAAATCAAACCTGAAGGGGGTAGGGGGTTTGGCTGTTTCCATCTAAGATAAAATTTGACACCTCATTTCACCAAATCCTTTGAACACCTCTTGCTGCATCAAATCATTTATTTGTTTAAGGGGGTAAAAAAGACAACTTACATACATGGTATAATCGGATTCGTTGTAATTTGGATCTCCATCCCTTGTCTCCAGGAAACCAAATGTGTCTGCATTCAACTCTCTGAACGTGAAATCATACTGTATGCACAACTTTACAAAGAAGAAAGAATGAGAAAATTAATAACTGGTATTTGCACGGCTAGGTTCGATCCATACCCTTCTTATTTACTTAATTAAATTAACTGAACCTCCCAATCCTGGATAACCTTCTGTAGTTCCCATACACTAAATGAATACTTGCAAGTGTCCTTTCGCTATTGAAACTCCTCGAGTTAAAAAAAATGGTGTTTTTAGTGATTAAAACTTAACCGGAAGAAGGGTTTTCCTCCACTCTGGAATGTGGCTTGAGAGGAGGTTGATGTACTTCTCCATAGCTTCATCTCGGTTCATGTCTCCCAGTTGCTGCCATGAATTCCTGGAAACCCATGCAGAATAATCTTACAACATCTACACAATATATGTTCCTACTTCCTATGATGAATTGTACAGGCAATTTTCACTATTTGTGCAGTGAACCCAAAATAACAGGGGTCAAGTTAATGTGCTAACTTGAGGATTCGTTAGAAGATACTAACTAATATAAAAAATACATGAACTAATATCCAAGTACTAAAGTATCTAGAGTCCACAGACTAGTATTCAAAGTTTGCTAACTGATATCCACCATGAATCAACTATTATTCCAAATTCACAAACTAATTTCTCGACAACACAGAATAGTATCCAAACAGCACATAATTAGTATCCAGATAACACATAAGAAGAGTATCCAGATAACCCCCATAAGAGTATTCATATTGAATACTAATTGGTTGATTGTGAATATTAGTTGGTATCTGCTATTTGGATACGAGTTTGTGATGTTTTGAATATTAATCTGTGTTATCTAGATACTTAGCAGATATGGATATTAGTTCATACATTTTGGATATTAATTAGTATATACTAACGAATTTTCAAGTTATCAGAATAAGTAGACTGAAGCATAAACAAAGATCCTTACCACTTTGCACGAGCAAAAACCTTCAAGGCCATGGGTCGGAGAGCATGGCAGGGGCCATCAATGGCGATCTTGTGAAGCCCATAAAGCTGCAACTTCAACTCGTTTCGCGGATGCGAATAATTAGCAGCAGCAAGGGTAGAGCCAACATAAGCGACAGCAGCACCGAAAAGTCGCTCCAATTCACTTCTCTCCACCCCTTGCCATTCATCAAACACCATACCTGCATTCTTCACCCAACCCACCTCCACCAAATCGTCTCCGCACTCTGAAACCTCAACAATTTCACATTCCAACGCGACCGCCCCGCCCAAATCCAACATCTCAATTTCGTCGCAATCCAAACTCCCCCGCTCGCTGAACTCCTCTGCCCTCGGTTCTTCTTTGTTTGTCGGTGATGCAAGACCTCTGCCATTATCTCTGTAGCTGAATCTGCTGAATTCCTCTACTTTAACGAATTCTGCAGCAAAACCAACTGTTTTCTCCGGTTTGGAGGAGCGGACATTCATGGTCCTTATCCTATTGCACTTGAGTTTGACGCTATTGAAAGCACCTCCTGGGTAATCGTCACCAGAGCCCGTAAAAGTGGCAGAGTAAACGGAGAGGAGTTTGGAGACGATGAAGGAGAAGAGGAAGGAGAAGAATAGGGTCAAGGAGAATTCAAGGAACAGCTCCATGATGAGATTTTTTTTTTACTGACTGCAGATGAGAGACGACAGAGGAGAATATGGGAGGTGGAGAGTAATATCCGCTTCCTTTAGCTGTGTGGGGAAAAATTACAAACACAGAAGTGACAGAGAGCTCAACCGCCCACCGACTCCATTGTCGTTGTCAGCTGATGATGGCGCTCAAAAACGACGCCCCGTCTTCTTTCCGCTCTCACCAAACCAAAATAAATGAGAGAAGTGATAGCAGGTTCAGCAATCTCACTCTAACGATGAAGAACAAATCATAGGGCCTAGAGTTTGAATGAAGAAAGGGAGCCATAAATGATTAGGAAAGCATCCCGAGTCCTGACATTATTTTTGCCTAGTGGAAGGTCCATTTTCGGTCCATTGTTATTCTTGGGGGAAAGGGTAGGTCCATTGAGCGCCGAGACATTACCCAACAATTACGAAATAAACGCTGTCTGTCTGTATTCAACTTTCTTTTTCTGGTTTGTTTCCGTGTGACAAAACTCATGAAGTGTGAAATGCATGAATTCGTATGGGGGAGACATGAGCATGACACAAACAATGTGCCTTAGGATAGGTCTAACCTATGAATAATCAAATTTGAACCTTTAGATTTAAGTAGATCCAGAAAATTCAGATCTAAGGGTGCCAAATTACCGGGTACCAAGTAAGGAGGCCAACGAGGGAATATCAAGCCGGCAAGGCAGAGCTTGGTACTATGACATAGAATTTGGCTAAGGATGGAGCAAAAGGGGTATCAAGCCGACAAGGCAGGCTTGATACCAAAAGACATGAAAGTTGGCTAAGTATGGAATTCCTTGGCCAGGGGGCAGGGCTTGGTACCAAGACATGAAAAACATGAATTTGGCTAAGTATGGAGACCTAACCACCAGGGGGGTCAAGCATGACATCATCACAGGGGGGTCAAGCATGATGTCATGCAAAGGGGTCATCGCGAGTACCGCTGGACGTGATGGGAAAGAAGGCAAAAATTGGCTAAGTGTTGAGACCCATAGCACAAGGGGGGTCAAGCTTGACATCATCCCAGGGGGGTCAAGCATGATGTCATGCAAAGGGGTCATCGCGCTAGACCGTGATAGGAAAGAAGGCGAAAATTGGCTAAGTGTTGAGACCTATAGCACAAGGGGAGTCAAGCATGACATCATCCCAGGGGGGTCAAACACTATGCCATCTACCTACCTTGCACCAGGGGGGTTATGCACAACATCGTCCAAGGGGGTCAAGCATGATACCATCCAAGGTGAGTCGAGTATGACGAGACGCAAGGGAGTATAGCCGCCTACCGGGTATCAAGCATGTTGGCAAGGGAGTCCCAAGACCATGGTGGTGAAGAAAGCCAAAATTTGGCTAACTATGGAGACCCAACTACAAGGGGGTCAAGCATGACCTCATGCAAGGGGGGTCATGCATAACATCGTCCAAGGGGGTCAAGCACCAAGTATCGCAACCACCTACCTTGCACTGGGTGTCACGCATGATGCCGAGGTGAAAATTGGCTAAGCATGGAGATCCAACCACCAGGGGGGTCATGCATGATACCGTCCAAGGGGGTCAAGCACTAGGGTGTCAAGCATGATGCCGAAGTGAAAATTGGCTAAGTATGGAGATCCAACCGTCCAAGGGTGTCAAGCATGATGCCACCCCAAGGGGGTCAGTGCGGATCCATCGAACCCCCAAGCACCATGGCGTCGAGCATGACGTCATGTCAAGGTGGTTAGCACGAGTACCACCAAGCGTGAAGCCTCCACTCACCAATCAAGACACCTCCATGGCACAAGGGGTTAGCTATCAAGTGGAAAGCACGCAAGAAAGTCAAGGCGTCAAGCAAGCTACATCAAACACCAAGTAGTGGAGCAGCGGTTACCAAGAGGCGGTTGCACGACGATTACAAGGGATGACTATAAATAGGAGAAACGAAGACGAAGCAAGGGTTCGACAACCAACCATTTAACACACTATGTCAAACTTTTATCTTTTCTCTACTAATTAGCCCTAGCCTTAGTTTTCGGAGCTCTCACTTAACCTCCATAGGAATAGGTGTAATTAACTTAGTTTGTTCCCAAAAATACCATCAAAAACATCAAACACCCTCGTTCGAACATTGTTCGGAGAGGTGTGAACCGTGTTGATTGTCGTTGTTCAAGAAGTCAAGGTGCATTCATTGTGTTCAAACACAAGTTTTTCCTCGCCGAAAAACAGGCTCTTATCTTCTTCCTTCTAACTCGGATTTAATTTTTTTTTTTTTTGCACACATGGAACGAGTTCGTTGTGCTCTACAAAATGAGATCAATTTTCAATATATTTCTAGATTTTTTTTTACCAGCTACATGCCATACGGTCACTTCTTCGTTTTTAAGTCATTTTTGAAAACGTTTGCTTAGAAGGAACGAGTTCATCATGATATATTGGATCTGCAAATTTCTGGGTGAAAAAAATATTGTACAAAAAATTACCACACTTTACCACTATGGTATGTGGGTGGTAACTTGTGGTAAACAATGATGAAAGTCGTAAACGACAGTTAGTATACTCCTACTATCATGTATTCAACCTTCTTACCATATTGGTATGTTCATACCATCATGGTAGGCTTTCTTACCATATGGTATTAAATATGAGCATACCATATGGTAATGACTGGCAAAAAATTATTCCATTTTTTTTACTAAAAATATATCAAAGTGGATATCATTTTAAAGAGCACATTTAATCTGATTTATCTGTTCAAATTTTTTTTATTTTTGACTTAAAACGAGAGAGAAATTTTCCGTTAAAGATTAAAGGGGAAAAGATAAAAGACTTTCTAGGAGAAAGAGGGATATTAATGTCATGCTGATGTGCAGGGGTTACTCATGGTTACTGACCATATGGTTACTGACGTGATCCGTTCCCCAAACAATGGATCGTTCATGGATCGTCTCCAAATTGAGCTGCTACATAATTAATAGTTTGTGAAGCACGGATAGGTTTTAAAATATATTAATATTTAAAAAAATATTAACTCTTGGAATGATAATAACAGTTGATTTTGAAAATATTACAATTTCATAATTATTTAATTTTTGCTTGTGTCTTTAATGGAGGTGTGTAAGTCTTACTGTAGGATGTTATGTCAAGATTTTTGAACCAAGACGCTCAGAATGTCATTATATATATATATATGAGAAGTTCTACGGTACCCAAGGTGAAATCAGGGGTACCACATACCTTGAGTAAGAAAACGCTATCATGAATTTGAATTGACTGATCTTTCGGACATGATACAATACTCCAACCCTTTAAGATAAAAATCTAAGTCTTACTTCTCTAAATCTTATACCCCAAGATCATTTTAATTAGAAACAATAATTGACGGTTATGATTCGTCCAAATATAGGCAACAAAATCAATGCACCAACTTAGGATTTATAGTTTATGATTTAGATAACTAGGACCTATGGTTCACTCATTAAGGGTTAGGGTATAGTATCATGCCCATAAATCTTGCTAATTCGAGGTTTAGATAGCGTTTTCATACTCAAGGTATGCGATACCCCAGATTTCACTCGGGGTACCGTAGAAGGCACCATATATGTATATATATATATATATATATATTATTGAAGGAGACAACAGCCAAAGATACAGGGCTAGCTTACATAAGTAGTAATCGAATTATCTATCACCCTTCTAGGAAAGCTAACTCCTCTTACGTCATCACCGATGATCACTCTCGCCTCTCCTGTAGGGTCTGATAGTTCATACAAACCGAAGGGATAGACAAGAATGTGCTTCGAGAGCCATTCTGTGACTCTATTCCCTTCACGATATGTATGTTCTAATCTGACCACCCAATATTGTGCGAGAATTCTCCTAATTGTAGTCAGCAAGGTTGAGTGCGTATGCACTAGGTCCACCCTTTGTTCAATGAGATTCAAAGCTAACATCGATTTTGTCTCTAGAACGAGGAACCGAGCCCCCTATTTCCACACAAACTACAATCCATGTTATATTACCCACAACTCAACTAGAATAGCAATACTTGGTTGATTTTACAGCAAAGCCCCCCTTCCACTCTCCTTGGTTGTCTCTGAGGATGCCCCCTGCTGTTACAATTTCGGGGGAACCTTGAGCAGCCCCGTCTGTGTTGATCTTATGCCTGCCAGCCGGCGGAGGTTTCCATGCTACTAGCTCCTCTTTTTTCTACCTTCCGGGTTGCTGAACTATATCATTGCGAGCTGCTTCCCATGTTCGGACCAAATCCTGAGCTTTGGTTAAGACATAATTCACCAAGGAGGAGGGAGTAAGAGTCTTTCCTTTGAAAATGTTGGTGTTCCTGTGTTTCCAAATGTGCCACAAAATGAGTATGAAGAAGCTTGCCCACTCCCCTGGTCAATCTCCTTCTTTGTCGTCCTACAAGTTGTTGCTGATCCAACCATTATAGTCTTGCGAGAAGAAGGACTCGTGATGGTGATTGGGCAATGCCTTTTCCCAAACTCTCTTCACCCTTGTGCAGTCTCTCAAGCAATGAAGATTAATTTCCCTCTCCACCCTGCAGAGTGGACATTTATCATCATTGGTGAGTTTCTTGTATTTCCTTACACAGTTTGTAGAGAGGCGTCCCTTTGCTGCAAGCCAAATGATCATACGAACTCGTTCCAGACAGTGAAGTCTCCATCTTTTCTTCCAGAATCTCGTTGTGCCCATTTGCAGCTGTAGGGAAAGGGCTTTGAAAGCTGTCTTCGTATTAAACTTGTCGCGAGATGAGAGTTTCCAGGATAATTGATCTTCGTTAGTTTCTAGAGGGTCTAGCATGATCCCTTTGATCTGGTTCGTGATAGCCGGAGGCAGTAGCTCTTCAAATTCTTCCGTCTCCCAACCCCTCTCCGGATCCCAAAAACCCGCCACCTGAAATTGTTGTTAATCTAGGGGGATATCCGCCAGAACCATTTATTCCAAAGGTACCTGCGAAATCCAGGAATCGGACCGAAAATTAGTTCCTCTTCCGTTTTTAACATTCAAAGTCGCACCCCTATGTAGAGTCATTGCACCTTAAGAAAAGCTCTGCCAAGTGAAGGAACTTTCTTGTTTTGAGTGGAGTATGTCCATTCCTTGCTTGCCGTTTGCGTATTTAGCACTGAGCACTCTAGCCCAAAGAGTTTGATCTTTGGTGATGAGTTTCCATGCTCCTTTTGCTAACATTGCTTGGTTTGCAATTCTGGTGGGCCTAACCCCAACTCCTCCCTGGCTACGTGGAAGAGTGATGTCCTCCCAACCAATAGGATGGAATTTTGTCCCAGATGAACTGCCTGTTAATTAATTCTGTCAAGAGAGTTGCAAACAGACATGAGAAGTAACTCGGTAAACATTGGATAAATTGCCATGGAAGAGGCTAGAGATTTCACCAAGGTAACTCGATCGGCTAGTGACAAATTCCGAGTTTTCCACGATGCTAGCTTTTTTCAAATACTGATTGTCAAGCCTTGATAGCGGGCTTTGTGTACTCTTCTGGAAATAGTGTCGATTCCCAGATAATTTTTAAGGTCCGAAATTAGAGGAATTCTGGCACGATTACTAAGCTATTGCGCTTTATCCTCTGAATATTGGGTGCCACCCACATCACTGATTTGTTGAGGCTCACTTTTTATCCCGGGCTGCTGCAAAAGTCTTCTAGGCATTTGCGTATGACGGTGATTTGCTTTCCCTTTGCAGCTGCGAAAAGAATGAGATCATCTGCGAAGAATAGATGGGAGAGCTTTGGTCCATCTTTCGATAGAGCAAGTGGTATCCATAGCTTCCCCTTAATTGCTAAATTAATACATTGAGATAATCTTTCCATACAAAGCACAAACAAGAATGAGGATAAGGGATCTCCCTGCCGGACACCTCTCGTTGGAGTAATTGGGGAAGTTTGCTTCCCATTCCAGTTTATCGACACTTTTTTGTTTTCCACGCAAGTCATGATGCGAGCAATCCAGGTACTAGGAAGGCCCACTTCTTTCAACGTATCCCAAATGAAGTCCCAATGGAGCGTGTCATACGCTTTCTCCAGGTCTACCTTGATAATAAAGCCTCCTGTTTTTCTCTTCTTCTTACGTAGGGAGAGGATGACTTCTTGGAGAATAACTATGTTGTCATTAGTTTGCCTCCCCTCAATAAATCCTCTTTGATTTTCTGAAATCCATTTAGGCATGACCAACTTGAATCTGTTCGCAATTGCCTTAGTGATGGCCTTCAGTGCTACATAGTTTAAACAAATAGGCCTGAACTTAGCTGCGAATTCTGGGTGATCCACCTTAGGTATAAGGACCATATTAGAATTCATGATCTCTGCTGGAATCTCTCTCGTTTCAAAGAAATGACCCCCCCCCCCCCCCATCTACGAGAGCTGATTCCTTGTATGAGACCAGAATCTTTGGTAAAAGATTGCTTGATACCCATCTGGTCCAGGGGCTGAATACAACTTCAATCCGAAGATGGCCTGCCCCTTTTCTAGTTCATGCTTCTCGGCTTGAGGAAGAAGAAAGGAAGAAAGATTGTTACCCTTTGTTACTTCTTCTCTTGTTCTCTTCTCTAGTCTCCAATATCTTGGCGTTTGATACCTTGGTTTTAGATTTTGAGAATGGAGAATGGTGGTGGTGGAGATTGTTGTGGTTTGGAGAGAAAGAAGAAGGAGAAAAAATGAAGAGGAGTGTTACGAGAATTGAGCCTCGCAGTAATTGGGCTAATTATTGCTTTAGTATTAGTAGTCTTTTATTATTATTGATTTTAGGGTAATGTCTATTTTTTATCCAAACCT